TAAATTAATATCGATGTTCATTTTATGGTTTGGAAGAATTAAAAAATTTTCCCCCGAAACTCTTTCAATCCGAAAACTTTTTTGAAAAGCCTCATCAAAACTAGGCATTTTAATTTCACAATAATAAAATAAAAACTTTTATTTACTATCTGAATAAACAACTGAATATCATTTCCGAAAAATGCCTTACAACAAAATTTTCATGTAGAAATGAGAAAAGAAAATTGAATTTTCAAAGAAACAAACTTGGCAAACACAGAAGAGACTGACTAGAAAAAGGAAATTGTGGGGAGGAAAATTTGAATTCCTTTGAAGTTAATTTTGGGTATTAGACGAAGGAGGAAACTTGTGTTGTGTATTTTAAAGGAAATTTTTGGTCTTTAATATGTTTTCCCACCATCCTTCTTTTTGAGAATTAATTTTCCTAGAATTTGTATAAATTTGACTTTGTAAAATTACAAATTTATTTTTTTTTGAGCCGGTTTTGAATGATCTTATGCAAATTAGCTAATAACGCATTTTGAAATACAAATAAATGTTGAATGAATTTTTTTTTCTGTTACAAGAAGGGTGGAAAATTATGTAAAACACAAAAAAAATTAGCATTATGTCTAGGAGCAAATTTTATTTACACAACACATTCTGAAGTAATCAAATATGCCTAATTTAGCAATGTTGTTACAGCCGAGAGAGAGAAAAAAAAAAATCAGGAATTTTCTAGATTTGCGAGTCGTGTATCAAATTAAAGCATTTGTTTAAACAAATTTACAGATTTTTCATCCACGCATATAGCTGATATAATGAGCCATTGATTGTTTACTTATCAGAAGTAATTGATGTAATTACTGCGAGTGGTGGTTCTTTGATGGCTTTTGATTATGTTTGCGAGCGGCAAATCGTGACTTGAAAATGAGTTAATGATTTATGTTTGTTCAACAGACGGATTTATAATATTAATGCTTGCTTTTAAGCTGATAAAAAGCTTGATTTAGGCGAGTTCAAAGCAACTAAACTCATATGCACTAACTTGATACTTGCTTAAAACCAGGTCTGGAGTCAATTTGGGTTCCAAATTCAAAATTGATTTAAAAACTGATTTAAAAACTGATTCTACTTCTAGTTCTGCTTAAGATTAACTATTTAAGAGAATAACTTGATTATTGAACTTTGAACTTTTGGGGAAAAAATCCGAAGTTCTGACCAAAATATTTAAATCTTTTCCTCAGTTAAAGAATGTGTCAATCAAAAATCATATTTTTAAAATTCAACCCAAAATAACAATCCATAAATCTCTGTTAATGTTAAATCAAAAATTCATACAACTGTGATAATCAAACATGAACTTGAACCTCAAATGTCTACCTTTATCATACTCTTCAAAATACCAGGCAGCTTTTAATTAACATTCAAAAAAGGAGCAAAATAAACATTTGAAATTCGAGGTCAAATAAAATTGACCGGTGAATCATTTACAGTCAATAACTTTTCATAAAGTTCAGATGGATAGACTATGATGAATTTTTTGCTTATTTTAAGTTAAAAAGAATTATAAATAATACCTTTGGCGCGTTTTTAAGGTCAAAAAGTGTTGAAAATGCGATGGAAAAGTTCAGGGATTGTTTTTTTTTATTTTTTGGGCTTTTTAAAATCGAGATCAGTAGCTAAAATAGTAATTTTATGTATAATGTATAAATGAAAAAATTAAACTTTCGACATTCGAAATTAAATTTTGTCAGAATAAAATAACTCAAAATTTGCAGTAAATTGAACATAAAATTCCAAATTGAGAAAAAATCAGAATTCCTCATTAATTTCATCAAAAAAGAACATCAAAACAAAAACATCAGTGAAATGTTTTTTCTTCTTTGACATCAAATTTAATGCAAATTTAATTATTTTCCATTATATGAATGAAGATTAATCTCAAAATGAAATTTTGATGTCAGCATTAACGATCAAGACAGAGTCTTACAACGAAAAAAAAATAAAGAGTGGGAGGCAGACGAAGACATACAACACATTGGATGCAAGAAAGATTGATGTGTCATTGATTATGTCAAGAATAAGAGTCATCAATTGTTGGTATTACATTTGTTTTTAGCTTTTATTGCGATGATTGAGATATAAAAGGGTCTTATTCGCTGTCTTTGCCTTGATTTAAGATGGATTTTTGAATTTGTGGGTTTGATGACATTTTTAAAGGAACTACAAATTGAATTATATTTAACTTTTTCATTTTTAAAAGTTTTGAACAAATATTTTTTAAAATCGTAATATCAAAATCTGGGCTCAGTTAATTGAATCTTAAAATCTTAATCTAAATTATTTATTTTTTGATATTAAGCTAGCTTTTGCTTACGGCGAGGTAGTGCAGATCATAGAATTTCAGCATTAGGAGGCTTTCACGATTTCCCATTTCCTTCAATTTTCGGGACAGAAAGCAAATTTTTAAACTGAATTATCTCGATGAATAAGAATAATTATTCAAAAATTTTAATGTTTAATTATCTCAATTGAAATGTGGCATCATTTAAACACAAACAAAATCTTAAAAATGTCGAGATATTTGAGTTCAAATGTTTGTCCTGATCCCGATAATTTTTTTGGAACCGGTAAATAGTGAAAGCTTAGACATTAGGCTGTATTTTTAGTTTAATGCTCGTTTAATGATTGAGAATTTGACAAGCTAATGCATTAAATACAGCGGATTAAGTTAAATCAATTCTTGCCCAACGACGAATGAATCATACTAATTTCACTGTAAACGCAGACATATTTCTTGTGATCCATGCAACACTTCCGCACACAAACTTGTTTAAATTTTTGCAAACATAATTTTTCAAATTCCCGAAAAATTTAAGCAAATATTGTTATTAAAGGTAAAATTCGTCTCAAAAAACATCCAGATTCATCTCACTTAAATGTATACGAGACTTTTTTCTAACAGATTTCATCAATTTTTCATACAATTTTAATATCATTAAGTTGAGTGATTTCATCCATATAAAAAAAAATCTCATCTCAAAATATGGCGCAAAATTTTGTGAAATATTCTCAACAATTTGTCACTGTTGGGTCGATTTTTTCTCTCAACCAGATCTAAAGGTCATTTGAATGCATACGCTAAAATATTTTCTGCTACGTAGCAAAATTTCATTTCCAAAAAAACAATTGAAATTGTTTAGATAAAATTCTCAAACATTCTTATCTTACGTGCAAAGTCTATATTCATTAAGATTCCATTTACCGCATTCACAACTTGAGTTAAACAAATTAATTTTCACCCACACTCCATTATAATTATCATCAGTAGCAAGCACCAACTATTTCCTTAACAAATAATGTGAGAAAATTATTATTTTTTCCTTACAATTAAGAAAATTAATGTTTTATGATCATACACACGTTGAATATGAGACGATATTTATGCTAACAATGCAGTTGTTTGTAATTCATTAAGTTGAAAATTTTCATATATTTGCCATACGTACACTTCATGAAAATTAAGGTTTAATCCACATATAAAGTATCCACAATAAATTTACGATATACACGTATAATATTATTTGACATAAATCACTTTATGTATGTACACAATTACTCTTTGACTGAGATCCTTATAATTCCTATTTTTCTCAAGTAAACACCTTTTTTACGTCACATGAAATATTCCTTTAACAAGTGACCGATAGAAATCCTTTAACTATTAAGTTTTATGACAACAAAATTTCACATCCGAGACTCTCGAATATCCTACCGATCTTAATAGAATCTAGTTCACTACTGGAAAATGTCGAGATGAAATGCACATCACACGAATCTTCTGTATCTCATATTCCTCCCTATTCCAGTCATGGAACTCGTGATTATAATGGAAAGTTGCTGCTGCGAGAGAAAATTTTTCAAAATCGTCTAAAAAATTTTCTTTTGCTCTCTCGTTTTTTTTTTGCCGTCACACAAATCGTCGATTTACTAATCAGCTGTTTCCATTGTGTAACTTTTCATAGGAGATGGTTGAGGGAAAGGAAATACCTTTGAAAATATCTCTATTTATTATTGTTTTACAGACTGTTGGACTTTTGGGAAATTATTGCTGAAATTAATTTTAAAAGGACTTCCAGCAAATTTATTTTTGGGGTCTTTTACGATGTAAGTTGAAGAATTTCGCTCAATTTATTTTACAGGAAATAAACTTAATCAGAATTTCAGAAGGTTAAAGGTTTTTAAAAATGCAAAAGAAGAACGTGAGTGACGAATCACATCACGCACCGATGAAGATAATACCGGATTCAAAAAATATGTTTTAAATTTGACATGTGATTGAGGTTTTTGAATGGATTTATACAGATTAAAGGATTCTTAACATTTTATAATTAAAAGTTCATGTCAATGTGACTGACTATTTAATTAAAGTTACAATAATTTGCGCAAATATTGAAGAATCGTGTTTAAGTGCCCGGATAGCATCGGTTAATCGATCAGAAATCCGACCAGCATTGACTCTGGCAATATCAAGCTAGCTTGATGCCAGATTTCTATTTGATTAACTGACTTGTGCTTTTCGGGATAATTGTATAATTTAGGGAACAGATTTGGTACCCCTCTCCCCCCCCCCCCCCCCCCCCCCCTTCTTCAAAAATCTTGGCTACACCTCTCGTCCCTGAAATATAAAAATAAAAGCGTTGTTAATTTTATAATAATTTGCAACATTTCATTCAACAAGGTCATTTAAATTTCCAAGACCATTTCCAAAAAATCTGTTCTTTTAAAATTTTTAATTTGATCTTTCAAGTTAAATAACGAATGTGAAAATTGCCATTGAAATAGCTTGCAAAGCAGCCCCTAAAATTTCACTTTTTCACAAAAATCATTTATGCACGCGTGTAAAGGCTAGCAACAAATATTCACATGATTGACTGTCATGGAAACGCTGTGGCAACGTAATAATACCCTGCTCATTTATAAAGTACGGGCGTCAGTTTAAAATTAATTTTAAACTTTTTTTTTTCGTAATTAACAGTTAATTGAAAGCGCTATCCTACAAAAAATATGGCAGATCCTTTGGGAGGCGATCAATTTGATGTCGAAGCACTGGCAGAAGTGGAAGTTGAAAAGCTTTTGAAGCAGGTAATATGAAAATGATACTAGCTCGAGTAAATTTATGCAAATTGTACATTAATTAATTTAAAATGAGATTTCTCCAAAAATTCACTCAATATGAAGCGTTTCAGTTCTTGAACAAAGTCATTTAAAGACTTAATTCCATTTTACTACCTCTCAGCATCAGAATTCTATGAAATTTCATCAAAATGGATTTAATTTTCTTTACAATTTTTATTTCTTCTTATTTCTTTTCAGTACCGAACAATTGAAGCGGAACGATTAAATTTTATTGAATTGCGGAAGAAATCGGCAAGGAAATACAATAAAGTGTTGAATATATTGGATAAAGAGAAAAGCGATTTACAATATAAACTTGATAGCGAGCAAAAAGGCATTCATGCTCGTCGAGATTCCGATGTATGTTCTATTGTTATTCTTTCTCGGTTGACTTATATACTTGTGTGTTTGTGTATGTTCTTATGCTCAATAACGATAATACAAACGGCCTTAGCGAGTTCATTTTTCGTGGGTTTATGGGATCAAAAGAAGCGAGTTTGCTGTAATTTTGTCTGCAGAAAGTTTAGAGTATATGATTATAGTAAACTGTTAAGTTTCTAGTTCTTACTTTACTCAGAATACATTTCGAAATTGATTTAGGAATCTATTAAATCTAGCTAATACTTAAATTTTATTAAGAAAAATTCTATTTTTAAAAATATCATTTTTTTTTACATTTTAATTGCACTTTATTGCATTTATTGACGACATACTGTCCGGTAATAATTCACATTTTTCACTTTTGTATTTGTATACATATGAATTAATATTATGTAGAATCAAACTTCTAATCTTCATATCTAGGTTTCAAATAAACTAAGGCTCTGGTTTCGATCTTTTGTGGGCGTGACGTGATACTTTTCAGGTCCGTTCTAACAATATTCCATTCTTGGGTAATCTTGTAGCTCTCGTTCCTATTTCTCCCGCTACACGTCAAGTTCCTGACCCGTTCTTTAATCCCACGTTGCCCAAATGCCCAATTATGGCTTGATCTCCTACATTAAGCAGTCGAAGTATATAAACTTCCGAAAAAGAACAAATTTGGAAATGGCTGGATTCGAACCGACGACCTTCGAGTTACCATCTTAAATTTGAGCCAAGCGCCTTACCTATTCGACCAGCAAGGCACTTAACTGCATCATGATTCGGAATAATCGAGCATTGCCTTTGGTATAGAAAAACACCTGAATCCTAATTCTAAACCTGTAATAAGTACTCATGCAAACAACCTTTTATTTTGTCCCCGAAGACTTAATATTAAGAAGACAGATTAATGTCCCAAAATAATAAAAATATGAATCAGATTATAAAATGCGCTGTCATGTCTCGCCGTTGAGACATTTTATCAATATTTTTAAATGCAATCGTAAGAAGAAAAGGAGGAAAACGAAAATCTTTACGATTGTATGGCAAAAGAAAAACATAAGAAAGAAATCCTCTAAATGGACTCGCTTTTATTGCTTCATCTTATTTTTTACGTTCAGATCTTACCAAATTCAATGGCCTTTTCTCCTTAAACATACAAAAACTACACTATTTCTTTCCCTTCCTCTATTGCAGGCACAAATAAAAATATTAAATTTAATGGACAAAAAGGAAAAGACAACTCAGGCGCTTTCAAAAAAGAAAAACGCTTTAATGGAATTGGAAGCTCGATTTCAAAAGGTTCGTAATTTTTTCTTTCTACAAATGTTTATTATGAGAATGTGATGCTAGAAATAGTTTTTCCTTGACTATTCCTTTTCGCCTCGCAATGTACACAGAATAAAAGTTTCTTATTCTCATTGTACAATAGTTCAAAAGAAGTTAAATGGAGAGAAAAAAATCTTCAATGATGTAAAAATTTGAGCTTCTTGAGTTCATTTTCTTTTTATATCTTAATCGCATACACATCAACATCCTTAATCCTTCTTTTTTTTTCACATGCTCATATTTTTCTCACATTAACTTGTCTATGATGATGTACATCATTGAAATGTTCTATCTAAGAGTTTTTACTAGATAATTGTTTATGTTTAAAATGTTATTTTGAGAATATATTGTAGATTATCCTTGAGTGTAGGAAGTAGGTCAAGAAAAGAGACAATTTTATGGTTTTAAAGGATATTTTTACAATTTTGTATTGAAATTATCAGTTTATCGACTTCAATCTTTACTTCAGACTTAAAACTTAACCTACAATATGAGTTCAGGACAAAACCCAAAAACCTATTGATAGCCATTGACTTGAAAAAGACCAAGACCAAAACATTGACTTGGCGAAGTGTGTGGAACTGCCTTAAACGAAAATCAATAGGTGACAACTATAGTAAAAACAATCAAGTGTTAAAATACCATCACGTAAATTAAATTTACATTAAATATTAAGACAAATTTACATTCAATAATTCCCTCCTCATTAAGTAAAATCAACAAGAACATATAAGCAATCAAAAAGCATCTTGCAAAGCTCATTTCGTAAATTTGAACATTTCTATTTGTCGATTTCCTGTACCGACAACTTTACTCAATTCATTTGTTTTATCCAATTTGTACCGATACTTTGTATCCTTTTCAATATACGAAAATCACATGCTCGTTTATATTGTGTATCTACAGTTGTATAAGGAGATCTCATCAGTAAGAGATAATGAAATTACCGAGAGTTTATACAAGGAAACAATTTGTGAGAGCCGTAAAAGCGTTTTCAAATTGGAAAATCGACTAGAAGTTATAACGAAACGTTCCGGAAGTGTGATGGCAGAGAATGCAAAGTTGAGAGAAATTATTGATCATATGTTGCAGGAAAGGTATGTTTAAATGAATGAATGGCATTTCAATAGCTGCATTGTTTGACCATTCCTTTATTTATTATTCATCCTCATACATTATTTAATTCATTTATTGTGTTGAAAACTTCTAGATCAAATTTCAATATCATGTGGCAGAAGATGATTAATAAATTGAATTATGGTAAACGTCACATCATGGAGCTCGTTGAGCAGGCAACAAATGCTTTTGACCAGCGAGAAGAATTATGTACAAAACTCCAAATTCTCAAGGAACGTGGACAAAATGATCGTTCTAATCACGTTCAAGAGATGAGAGAATTACAAAGAAAATTAGATCACGACGCAAAATTACAGGAATTTTTGGCAGTGAAAGGGCAACAACGATTGAATACGGAACAAGAGGAACGTGAAGCTGATAAGAAGAAGAAGCGAGTTGAGGAAATGGAAAGGCAATTTAACGAGTACGATAAAATATTTCAACGAATTATTGTGAGTAATTCTATCCGACATTTCTTTATTCTGACTTAATTGAACGAACATATTAGATTGAATTAATGTTCTTTTTTCCTTTATTTCAACTTACACGCGCACATAGCTCTTATCTGGCGAGAAAGACGTAGATAAAATCATTTCAAAGTTCATTAAGGAAGAAGAGGAAAATTATGCATTGTTCAATTATGTCAATGAATTGAGTCACGAAATCGAGCAATTGAACGAGACTGTGCAACAGTTGCAAGATAGCATCGGTAATTAAATTCAATTAATTAAAAGCTTTCATCAATTAGTCAACTTTTTCTTACTTCCTTACATTTCTTTTCTTTGTTTCTAATTCAATTCTCCAAAAAAAAACCTTTTTTTTTCTATATCAACAATTTCAATTCAATTTCAAATTACTTTTTCTCACCCTCACATGTCTATAGACGAGCATAAAGATTTGCAAGAGATGAAAAAGCATTCGCAAGATGATAACATAGATGTGTTAAAAGACGAGCTTTTGAAACAAAAGAAATCTGCTGACGATGCTAACAACTACAAGAATGAGTGTGAGGCGAGATTACAGGAAATATTGAGGGCCGTGGAGAGACTTTACAAGTAATTTACTAGACAAAAATTCAGTATTTCTAATTTTTGGGATTTTCATTTCATGGACTGTTAAGCTTCCGCTTCAGTTGTAAACTTTTGCACACACAATTTCACTTGTCACATGTTTAATGAAATGGAAATTAATTTGTCATTTGTTTGCGTCAATCTTTGTGTCTTTAAAAATATTTATCCTCTCTAATCTCTTCTATTGCAGACTTCTCAAATGCGATGAAGCTCCAATCCTCTACCTATTGGGAAAGGAGAAAAAGGTTTCATTGAACAACGCAAAGCTCTTCCTCGGCATTATCGATCGTAAAATTCTTCAAATGATGAATAACATACAATTTGTTGAGCCTTCATCGAAAATTCTTGGAAAAAAGGATCGTGTGCCTGCGTTTAATGTCAGAGATTCCGCGAAGGCTTCAAAGAATTGAACAACTTTTTTTATCATCCATTGAATATTAATCTTAATTATTTACAATTTAAATTATGCATGTAGGTTTTGAACAGTAGCTTAAGAAGTTATTTTTGTACGAAACTTAATATTTATAAAACAATATTAATTGGACACAGCAGATAGCTTAGATCATTGAAAGAATTATAACAAGCTACAAAATCCGAGAAAAATCTGTTCAGGTTCAGATTTTATTATTACACGCTTTTATTTAACTCACACTGTTTGTCTGAGTCAAATCTTGTAATCGATTTTACGACCACTTTCACTGCTCCAATAGAGCTCAAATTTTAAATGCACACGTATTCTCGATGACAATACAATATTTTAACACTTTGGGACCACAAAAATGCTTAAATATAATTCAATTTTAGTAAAACTTTTTTATATGGGAAAAAAATCCAATGTCAATGATATAAAATTTTGATTTGTTTAAAATATTACACTTGAAATACTCAACAGTCATTTATAAGATTCATTATAGTTTAATTAATATTACTAATTATTAATTATACTATAATTTTGAGCAGCTTAAGATTTTCTGGGAGGATGAAAAAATTGACAAGTGATTTTTTCATGAATATTCGTAAGTGAAAATTTGAATTTTCAAAAAAACCGTTAAACATAAGTCCGTTGCGGATTAATGCAAAATAACTATTAATATGAGATGTGCATTTAGCACACATATTTTGAGCATAAATTTATGCTGTTTTAAATGTATTACATTATTTATAACACTTCACCAATTTAATTAAATAGACTTCTCTTTTAACGGCATGACGTATTTTTGCATAACATATAAATGACATTCATTGAATTTAAATTTGAAAATCGGTTATATGCAAATTACATAAAGATGGGATTTGCATCTTTATGTAAAGAATCCACACGTTATGTAGTAGGAATGGTCCGGATAAACACAAAATCTTTAATTGAAGTTAGGACATTTTTAAAAGAGTTTTATGTGTTTTCAGGTATGACTTAAATAATTTAAAAAGAATGAAGAATTTTGACATTCTTTACTAATTATCCATTAAAAAATGGTAATCTATGAACAGTTGAACCGATTGAAGTGAAAGGTAGTGGATTATAAAACTTCCTGTAATCTAAAAACTGTAACCTACTCATTAAGTCTGATAAATTCAGTGTTGAAATAAAACAAAAACTCCAAATTTTGGAAGTAATATCGATTCATACATTTAACACGACTAAAAAGTAGAAAATAAAATACTATAAAAAAAAAAACTTTTTTTTAAAAAAGCACGCTTTTATTTCCGATTACAGTGCACTAAAAAGGAGAAAATAATTTTTTTCTAAGCACTCAAATATGATACAAAATTTTATGACTAAACATAAAAGCGTGGGGCGTTCTTGCATATGTCACTAAATCTTGAATTTGTGAACGATCTCAAAATGTTAAAAGGTCTTTCGTTTACAGAAGTTGCATCAAAAAATGAAAAATTACAATATAGTGTGAATAAATTATAGAAAATCTAGAGCAGGTTTAAATTGAACGCCCCACGCTTTTATTTTTAGTCATAAAATTTTGTATCATATTTGAGTGCTTAGAAAAAAATTATTTTCTCCTTTTTAGTGCACTGTAATCGGAAATAAAAGCGTGCTTTTTTAAAAAAAAGTTTTTTTTTTTATAGTATTTCAACTTTAATACACCTAAGAGATTAAGTCTGATTAATTAAGTATTAACATGCACCTTTGAACTTCTTTTGTCTCTTAATTCACATTTATCTGTCTAGTCTTGGTAATAATATTAATTTACCATAGATAAAACCACAAAATCTTCTCATATAACTTTCATTTAATTTTAAAATAGAAATTAATTCAATTTAATTTGTAAGACTCAAATAAATAAAGAAATTCCCTTTGAACATTTATAAACAACTGTGAATTTTAAATTTAATTTCGTAGCACATACAGCTCTCGTGAGACTTTAATCTTATATACATCGTCAGCAGTAAGCAATCCTTTCAATGAAGAGCTTTTTCTTACATTTTATGGCATTTAGAAGAAGCATCTTATTTCATATCGTCTCATGTTTCTTCTCCGAGTAAAATTACTACATGTACAATTTGTGATTCAAGAGACACGAATGAAAAGGAAAAGACAAAAAAAAAAATGAAACATGCTGCACATTTTGCCATGGGAGTATGGAATCAATATTTTATTGAGAAGTCAAGAAGCTTCCTTCTGAATAATTTATCAAGTTAATTGAAACATTATCGTTTGTTATCATTCAGTGCATTACATTCCCCAAAAGCTGATGATATTCGATAATCAACATCAGAAGTCTCATGATTTATAGTCACATTGGGGGGATGAATTGAAAATTTGTATCGTAGAGAACTATGTATCTTCAATAGCTTATAGTTAATAAAGCTTGTAAATATTTCTACATTGTTGAATTTTTAAGCTTTAAATAATTTTATTTGAGTTTAAAAAAATTCATTGTCATATTCATCGATGCTTGTTGGCACAAATTCCATTGTCGATGGACACGGTCGCTTAAATTCTTGCCCAAACTCATAAATATATTTATAAGCTATCCATTTACTTTTATACAGCACAGGACATTGTGTGAATCTTGTTCCATATTCACTTTGACCTGACTTTTTCAAGGTAAACCAAAATAATGCTGATCCCTCTCGTGGGATGATTCGAACTTTTAGGTAAGGAAATGCTGTGTATCCATCCATGTGGTCATCATTCATCTACAACAAAAAATAGAAATTTCTCTTTTATCATTTTTTATGAGAGGGTTCAAATTGTTCTATCTCGAGTTATTATGAAGCAAAAAAAATTGAAATTTTCATTCTTCATCTTCAAGTCCGTTCAATGATTGTTGGAACAAATTCCTTTTTTTTTATCTTCCGTTAAAACAAAATGAATAATTTGAAATGTATGTATACGAACATAAAATAGAATCATGGCCATTTTATTGCCTTTTTGTTGTTTCCCATGCCTCCAAACAGGTCCACAGACGCCAAAGTTCTCAACATTTAATGGCTCCATTGGATCAACTGATAATCCCGTCATATCCTATGAAAGGAATATAAAAACAAAGTTCGTCATTTCATTAATCAATTTAATTCTCATTTACTTATTCAGTTCATTTACTTCGATTCGTCGTGAAATGCGAGCAGCTAGCTCATTGTTGTTATCATGAAGCGATACCATTCGTATGACATCAAAAATCGATTTTTCATCAGCATCTTTGTTGCTATTTCGGTGAGTTTCTCGCATCGTAACATTTCTCAATGATTGAATCTCATTATTCGATAGAACATTAAGGTATATGACAATGTAGGGATCTATGTTGACCTCTTCCACTTTGAATGGCGCAAGCATTGTAAATGGAGTAGATGAAACGTATCGACAATAAAGCCTCGACATTTCCATGACTTTTTTTGTCAATTTTCCACGACATACATCACTTAGCAATTCAAATTCTTTTCTACGACTATATTTACCATCCATTTCGAAATTCGCATCATATGGATTGTCAAATGAGATTTTGCTTGTTCCGTATTCTTTAAACAATTTGACAATCTTTATTGCATATTCGGCTGCCTCCGAGTTATCTGGATCCTTTAATAGAATCTGTTTTATGTGGAATGCAGAGCATTTATAATCATTCATTCGTTCACATAAATTGGCAATTTTAATCAACAGTTCATTCTCATCAACTTCATTTCTCGTATCGTAGCCTTCTTTAAACTTTTCGTATGCCAATTCGAGATACTTTTTAGCAAAATACTCTTCATTTGTGATATTGGATGCAACATTTCCCACAGTATACAAATCATATGGTGTCATTCGAAATCTAACGTGACGACTTTTTAGATATCCGCGTGCAATATCATTTGTTGATAGTTTATAAATGCGTTGCACGAGCAAAAGACTTCTCACAGCATCTGTTAAAATAGAATCTTTAATGCGATACTGTGCAAGTTCATTTGCCATTGATGACGGTATTCGCTTCATAAGTAGAGATATATCTGCTGTTGCACGTTTAATCATCCCGAATGCATTTAAAGGATTTTCTATGTATTTTGAAACATCTTGTTCCAACACTCTATGTTCACTTTTCCAATAATCCAATTTCCTAACAAGGTTATTAAATTAAAGTGTAAAGAATATTCGTTCAGTAGCTTAACTTGCACTTTTCAATGTTTTACTTACTTTCTCACATAATCCTCATCAGACACTTCATCAACAATTGCTGCTAGCTTTGTAATAAACTCACTTTCTATTACAGCCAACTTTTCAAGTTGTACAAGTGATGAGAAATACTTTTCTTGCTGGCATTTAATCGCAGTGAGAAGAAATAAAATTAAATTTACTACAAAAATGTTCATCTTATACTAACTATGATGTGTTGTTACATCTCTTTCCAGAGCAATTGTGAGCATAAATGCTGGAGTATGGGCTTTTAATATTATTTTGACATTTTTACAATTAGCTATTAAGCTATTAAATATACCTTTATAAAGCCTTCATTCCCCTGTAATCTCTGGATATGACCCTGCTAAGCTATCCCCGATCTATATCAATACATACTTAAAATCTATAGAATCCTTGAAGTTTTAAGCATGATAAGGAATATAAAAAAATGCGCTAATACTTCCTGAAACCCAAGATACTTATTACTAATCTTGAGTTATCTACGAGAATGTTCATATTTGTAGCGCAAAACCGTCTGTTATGATGAGTTCATGAACACCTGAATAAATTATTTCAGACTCCGAGATGAGTACACTTGACATAATTTTTCTCTCTCCCGTCTATTCAGTAACTGTGTTTTTCGCTCTGGTATTCATTTACAATCGAATAGGAAAAGTGGATGATGAAGTTTGTTGAGTGGTTGGAAAATTTGTTAATTTTAGTTTTATATAAATAAATATAATAGTTTAATTTTCTCATTTAACGTACTTGTAGTTCTTTTTTAATTCATTACAAATTTTATTTTCCATTGAAAATTGAGCAATTATTCTTCAATTAAAATAAGTTGGAGAAAAAGTTTTAAACTTCGCTCAAATTTTTACGTAATCAACACCCTCAAAACATCGTATAAAAAATCTTATAATATTCATAAAAATTCTTGCATATTCAATCTAAAATATTCAACAGAAGTATCTTCAATTTAATGTAAATAATTGATTTAATTTGATCGTAAAAAAATATGTACATCGTGCATTTTATGCCGGCACAACAAAATTGTGCGTTTATTTTCGTTCTCGTAAACAAACTTTCCTCATCAAAATACAATTTACGTCTATTATGAGTCATAATTTCATTTTCATTTAGCCTTCAAGCATTAAATTTTCATTTCAATTTATGAGATAGATTCGGTGTGAGCCAATGGAAATGTGTTTATTATTTAATAAAGTTGTTCCTCTTTTCAGCGAATACTTGAAACATTAATTGAGTTCTTTGAACTGTTTAAAGATGTTTGGAGAACGTGTTAATTAAGTTTGTGCTAAAGTTATTGCATTAGAGAGAAAATTGAATGGATCTTTGTTTGGGCATGTGATGGTCGAGTGGCAGTGACTAGAACAGCGAAAAAGCACCCAAATCCGTATGCATTCCCTGCGATCGAAACAGGTTCGGTACGATTAGTTTACCTAAACTCTAACTCGTTGCTTGTGAACAGTCTATCGGCAAACCAAAAATAATATAACATTTTATCGAAATATTGTGTGGATGTGATTTTGTTCACAAATTATTAAAATCGATTTTAAATTTTCAATATTTTTAGGTTGAAATATGAAAACATCCTTTAAGCATGATAGAAATGAAAAATATTATATTTTCACCGTGAAATATAGAAATGGAAAATTTCATAGCGAGCAAAACATCAGACAGGAAAAGCTTTTCGTGAAAACGCATTTTAATATTCCATAGCATAACACTGTGATAACAACATAAATCGTGACCTGAATGTCACCATAAAATTATTATACATAACCATTGTCATCTTTTGGTGTGATTATATGCTCGCTGAATATAAATTGTGATCACTTTTAGACATTCAATTGTAATATCATCGTAAAAATTTAACTTTTATGCTTCACCTTCCTCCGTGGATACATGTGTGTGACTGTAATCAGGTACTAATTAAATTATAAATTATTGTCACTAGTGCTGTGTAAATTCAAAGCACACAAGGTGGTGGTGTCGAATAAATCATGATGTGTCTACATTTGTTGTCTCATCTGCCTCATTACAGAAACATTATCTATTAAATTTAAATTATTTTGGTATTTAAATCGCATTTAAATGAAGACATTTGCACATGATTGTCTGACACTCGACTTGTCGGGCGTGTATACACTTAATAATCGATGACATGATGTCATATAATAGCTTCATTTGTCATTAAATATCATGTTTAACGACATAATTTGGTTCCCATTATGAAATAAATTAATTTAATTAATTACGTTGACATTATTTATCCGATTTCTTTGGAATTCTAATTGGTTTCAATCATTTTATGAATTTTAAATTAAATTTTTGAAATTTGTGTTTTCCTGCATTACAGCTAATAGAATCAATTCATATAAGAATGATGTTTAGTGGCATATAAAAGTTGTGTTAAATTGTTCGGATAAGCTTTTAATTCTCTTAAAAACTTTACTTCCTCTGTCTGATCTTAGAGTCATTGTAGGATGAAGCTTGAAGCTTCTTTTTGATCAATGGACGTGAAAAACATCTTTCTTTTTTTTGATGCTGAAGTCATTACTACAGATGAAATTCATAAAACAACTTTTCCAAACATCTTCGAGGCATTTGATGCTTTTCGTTATGATGATTTTCAAAAATCTCGTGACCAAGACGTTGAATTCATTGACTTTATTCAAAAATTAGCATTTGACATTTATGAATTGAGTGGTTGTAGATTTAGAATTATGTAGATGATTTACATATTTTATTTTTTAATTTTAACCGTGCCTTTTAAAATCTCCTCAGAACTTACTCTAAAGGTTCTCAAGGTTTTAAGCATGAAACCTTCAAAGGCACGATGCAATTTAAATTTAACGCTACAATTCAATTAACCGGTGAAATAATACGGCATAATTTAATTAATCTCCATTAACAAAATATATTAATAGAAGCGCTAAAATTATTGTATATTGACGCCAGAAATGGAGTTGAAAAATCCCCAATTTATCTGTATTTGTACCGGTAGCAAAATCTGGAGAGCATACATTGAAGTCGATAAAAACAAAATTGAATTAAATTTTAATTAATTCCAGCAATAAACAAATGCTATTTTCAATTTACTCGTTTAAATGAAAAATTTACAATTTTTATTGCAATTCAATTAACATTTCAGTGTCTTTTTTCATTCATTCACAATTTTTTATATCGCTTTTTTGTTGCAATTCCTTTCAATTTATCATAGCTATATCGCGCGTATGAATGAAAATAATAATAAAATCACTTCCCTCTTTGCAATTCAAATTCCCTCTGTTTTCATGTTGCCTATACAATTGCTATTCTATTGAGAAAGGTGGAACAATGTAATCATTTAAGCAGCCACGCAGCAGCATTTTGTAGATATGCAAATTCTGCTGACGGCATTCGAGATAGAGAAAAATTCGAATTTTTAGCTTATTTTGCTGTTGGAAAATTCACTTTGTTTCACATTTTGGATAGCTTTTATGACGAATCTAATTGAATTCTAGTGTTGATACATTCAGTTACCTCTTAGCTGGTGATTTTAAGGATTTTTTTCAATTAATCTGTACATTTTCTGTCTTGAACATAGCTATGATTTTTAAGTTGCAATGACAAATAAAGGATATAATTAAAATTTTTGTTTGTAAGGTTGATTAAGTATTTGCACAATTGCATGACCAAAGGCATATCATTACAACGTACCTAGCCAAAAACCCAAATTCAACTAGAAATTCTCGGAATTGATCAGGTTATTAATTTTGATTGACAAACAATCTTTGGTCTAGAGTTTTAATGGTCTACGTCGTTTTGATAGAAATGCGCCATCACCTTCCATTCAAATAGATTTTGACTTTTAAAGGAATTTATATTTTTAGTACCAAAAGCCAGTCCATTGATTGATTGATAAACCATAATACGAGAGTGAAAGCATTGAAATTTAATGCCTCTTAATTTATAGTGACTCTGAGCCCATCGTTGCTTATATTTTTCATTTGCATGTCGCTCGCGGTAACTGTTATTGAAATTCCAACAAAACCCCTTTAACTACATATAAAGTTGCGGGATTGAAAAATATTTTATTTTGCCAAAAAAAAAAAGAGAGAGAGGATTTTCGCTGAATATCACCCCAAAAATCTGTTGAAAATGTGCGGTTATTGTGGAAGCTTTTTGGATGAAAATTTTTAGACATAATAAATGTTAATAAGGTTTTCTTGAATGTTTTAAATAAAAACAATTCAGAGCTTATTTCCTCGGCAGTATAGTGGTGAGTAAAACACACAAAAAGGTTATCGTTCCATTTTTTCCACTCGATTATTGAGCAATTTTGGTTGAACCAAATTTTGTATCGATTTATAGCTTTTAAAAATAACACAAAAAAATATCCTTAACTTTTAACACTTAACAATTTTAACAAATATAAATATAATTAAACTTTTTTCCAGCAGCAAAGCTTTTTATCGAATAGTAAGCAGCTTCGAGTCACTGAGTGTAAGAAATTTCTCTGAATTTTTCGTATTACTCGCTTTAGCCATTTGTACATGAAAATCATGATTTTTATAAAAGCTCCAAAATGCAAACCTGAACGATTCTGCGCCAGCTCCCAACATCAGCCCATTAGAGTTCCAAAAGAGCTTCATACCTCCTTCAATGTAATCGAAATCAAATGAACTTATAACCTGGCTCATCGATGCTAACAAGCATACTCGATTGATGTATTCATCTGCAGTAAACAAAGATGTATTGTTTAAATAACAGATTTAAGGGCTTTTGAAAATGAATTTTAGTGCAACTTGCAATTTAAACAAATAGAATGTTATTAAATAAGCAATTGATTTGTGAAATCTCAATTATCATTTACAGACGTTCACTTACCTCCATTATAAAAGCAAACAGCAAGTTGTGCTGTAACTGGATTGAAAGCAATGCTGGTAAGCCACCAATTATTCTTCGTTTTGGTATAGCTTGCAACGACTTTTCTCTCCGTAACATTAAATAAATAAATTGCTGGTAAATACACTCTGCCAATTATTAATTCATTTTCAACGTATGGATGCCATTCAAGGTGCTTATATAAACGTGAATCTTCGTGTTGATAACTGAAAATGTATGTCCATGATCCACCGTTCCATATTTTAAATTCTCCTCTTATATCCAATGATGCCATATAACGTGACGATGCAGAGAAGCAAATCTTGACAATTTCATGGTGATGTCGATCGCTTAATACTGTTACATATGTCCAATTCTGTTGAGCACTATCACCGAATTTCGATTTACTTTTGGCTGCCAATTGAAGACATTCTAGTACATAAATTTTACCAACATTCGTTCCACTCATTAAATATGAATCATTTTGTGTAAAGCACAATGCTGTTATATCATGCACAAATGGCGTACGAATTTTCTCAGTCTTTAGCCTTTCACTATTGAACAACACATCATGATCAATTTGAAATAAATAAATGTCATCCTGGAAGAATTCACGCTTTGATTTTCGATAAGCCATCGCTAGATAATCACCACTATTGGCAAATGAAATTGTCACGTTATCATGAATGTCAAGAGCACGCGTATATCCATTTGTTGGGTGATATAAACAAACTTTTCGATTCGAAGAGGCTGCTATTATGTTTTTTGATGACCAAACGTATTTATCTGGAAGAGATTTAAAGGATACAGTGATGCATTTAGGGGCCTTATTACGTTACGCAAAAAATCGATCTTTTTTCACCCCCCCCCCCCTTGTTACAATATGTTACAACTCACCACCCCCCCACCCTGAACGTTCATAATTTATTTTATTTTGATAATTTTTTACAGGTAGTTATTAAGAACATTTAAATTTTATTCATAATTCACCATAGTTTTTCTTTATTCATATTATTATTATTATTGGACACAACAAATTTTTTTCGTTAACTTTCTTTCAGACGACAGAAAGAACGTTACAAACTTCTTGACCCCCCCCCCCCCCCCCCTAAAATGCGAACGTAATAAGTGAACGGCCCCTTACGAGATAATTGCATACAAAAGTTGTACGTAAATATTGTAGGTGGGTGTTGTACGCAATACGTAAGTATTGTAAGTAGTACGTAAAACATCCAGAAATGAATCTCAGTTACTTCAAAAGTTAACATCAACAAGAAGCATGAAATCATCCTAAATCAATAAGTAAGCACATAAACAAGAAGATAAAAAGCTATTGACTTACGAATTCGATGAAATGATTTCTTCTCAAGAGTTTCAAAATCAGGTAAGAATTTCTCACGAATATTTGTAAGCTTACACGCCCAGTCGAGATGAATTAATGATTTATTCCTTTGATCATTTCTCTTATTACTGCTTTCTTGATTCCCATTTGCTTTCTGTTGATCATAAAACATAAATTTTAATGTATTTTGGTACTGAACTTTTTTCATCGTCCGCAGATTATTCTCAGATAATGAGATATCAAAATCCTCTTCTTTGCTTTCTTGTAGGAACTCGGAATTAACACGTTTTGATGGGATGTATCTGTCATGTTGAAACTTGAAAACATGCTGTCGAGAAGCAAGTAAATTAATTATAATGAACGTGATTTTGTCTATTTTACTCACTTCACTATACTTTTCCATTGAGTTCTTCTTCATCACATCGAAATCCTCGCCAATCACGATGTTTTTGCCAACAACATTTGGTATTTTTGGAAAGTTTGAAGACATTTTATTGCTATTTAATTAATTTTACACACAACTTTGACAAAACTAGACATTTATTGTTTGTTTTTGTGGTTAAATCAAAAACCGTTAAAAGCTCAATTTGAATAGGGGTGCATCTGCATGTTGGTAGCTGTTGAAAAATTCAAATATGAAATGTACGTTACAAAATAAAAGATATTAAATTTTTTTTTAAATCTTCATTAGGGTAAACCATGTTGAAATTTGTGCATTCATTTCAAAAATAAATCATCACTTATAAACCATTTATGCTAAACATTTGTATGCAGTTCTATATAAAACTGATATCTAAATGTTTCCACATCAGGGCAATTCTTTCGATGACTTTTGGAAAATTTTCAGCAAAAAATTGAAATTTTATAGATTTTTCCCATCAGAGACACTGATTTTATGATTCTTATCGATGTAAAAATCTAAAATGTACACTGATTTTGATATCATATACTTCTAATCTTCATATACTTCTAAACTTAATTAAAGTATTAATTAAGTTATTTGGATTCTTTAGTCAATAAATCGATGACAGAAATCGGAATTTTCAATTTTCATCATCCGAAGAATCGAAAATTAAAGAAAACTATTGATATCCACATTGAATAACTTTTACTGAGTTATAGAACAGACAAAAATCTTTAATTGAGTTGCTTTTGCTTATGTTTTAAGTCATTAATTATTGAAATATTTCAATTCTTTGAAAAATTTCATTGTGTCATCGAGTTATAAAAAAGCTTTTTTTTGTCTTAATCCGTGAAAAAAAACAAAATTTTCCAACATATTTTTTCAATTTTTCACTTAATTTGGGTGAGTTGTAACATTTCAATAGATCACTTGTAAAGAATTAATTATGCTTTATGATCTACGAAAGTTCTGGCTTATTATTCCTTCACAGTTCATACAACTAAAGAAAACATTTTATTGGCACAAAACTCATTGACATTGGATTATGAAAGCTCATTTTTTTCAAATTCCACTCATGCAAAGAATTGCCCATCATTTGGGAAACTCTTGAAGCCTTGAAAAAATTTAAATTCCCGTACAAAATCAAAGTTTTCACCTTTTTAATTATTTGGACACAGATAATATTTTTTCTTACCCCATCTGAGTTGAAAAACGAATTTTCTTTATTGCTTAATCGTTTAAAAATGTTGTTGCTTAAGGAAAGTCATTGGAAGTCATTTAAAAATTGATTTTAAAATCAGTTGTTTAATAATTTTTAATAATTATTTGCAATCAAAATCGGGTTTTTAAAGGCAAGCATGAGAATAAACACAGAAATAACACCAAGAAGACATGGGCTGAAAGGAATAAAAAATGTATTTGACTCAAAAATTTAAACAAAATCAAGGAAATGAATCTATCTTCAAAAATTAAAATAGGTAATATGCATACTTCGTCAATATAAATATTGAATTTTGCGTATCTCTTGATAAATAAATTTGAAAATCTTGAGAACAGTTCATCTATGCAGCAGAGTACTTTAAAATTGTGATGGAGTTTATTTGGAAGTGTTCTTTGGAAGCAATCACGATTTAAAACCCTCGAAAATATTTTAAAAAAATTGTTTGTTTACATTTATGAATTGAAATGTGTCAATGCTTGCTGTCAAAAAAACGCACAAATTTCAACATTTTTCGCATAAATTTCAACATTTGACCAAAAATGTCAAATTTCTCTTCCCATAAGCAACATAGTCATCAAAAAAGATTAAAAACTGAAAATTCCAACAATATTTGATCATTTAAGCCCAACAATAAATTTTTAAAGTAAGGCATTAAAAAGTTACAAGCAAATGAAATCTTCAAATGCAAAAACACAAAAATTTCAACATGGTTTACCCTAATTTTATTTTTTGACCTTAGACAGAGTTAATTCAACTATCGAAAGCAGCATACGTTTCCACAAGCGCACGTAAATTTTTTCAGAACATCTCTAAAAGCCTTTTGTGGAAAATTTTAATGAGCATTCAACTACACAAGCTTCCATTGACTGCTTTACCTTTATTATATCGTTAACAGTCAAAGTAATTTAAGTTCTTTTAATGACTTTTTATTGTCCTTTTTTGTTTCGCCTCTTTTCATAGGTAGGTTAACAACTTTTATTCTATTAAACATAATAATAGACTAATTTTAAAAAGTTTAAATGAAAATTTTTTCAAAAATGGGAGGAAAACGAACGATGGAATGGAAGTGAAAAATTCAAAGGTCGAAATCTCAGAATAGTAATTATTTGCTCAGTAAATCAATTATTTTGTTAAGAAACTTGATAAACGTAGACGTTTTAACAATGCTGATCGATTTTCAACTTAATTATCAACAAAATGATAATTAAGATTAGCAAATTGGCTATTAGCAATGAAATTGAATCAAGTCGATAATTAACGCAAAATCAGAAATTATCAATCAAATATCTAAATCCAAAATCTATTGAAAATCATCGAACAATAGATTATTAATTTATAGATTGACTCATTAATTATGTTGGTTCGAAGGAAGTTCGCTAATAAATTTCAATTTGATTTTCAATATTGATAATGATAATTAAGTTATCGATTTTTAACTCTGAAGTCACTTTGGAATATGTTTCAATATCTTAAACCCTTAACGATAGTGAATTAAACCAGTGTCTAGTGTCTAGGATCCAAAATCCAATATTAAATCTATGTAAAACAATTAAACAAAATAGATCCAAAAATCACGTTTAATTTATTATTCATGCAAAAAAAGTGAGGCATTTAATGTTGTTCATCGAAAATTAAGAGAAAATTTTTATTTTGACAAATCATCTTGTTTTTATGTTAAAGCAAATTATTCCACACATACCAGTTGGATGATAAATGACTATAAATATTCTATATCATGTAGGAGCACAATATACGACAACAATAACCAACAGGAGTGGTAGAAAAACATCAACAACAACAAAAAAGTGAACATCCTTCCACATAGATACTCATCATCGAATAGCATACCCTAAATTTACATTTCAATCTATAATTTTTTACAATCCATACATAAAATATTTTCCATATCTAAAAGGGAAATGAACACGAGATTTTTCATTTTATTTATATTTCATGGTGCTTATTGGTATTTTGCTATCATAAAAAGCTATCAATGAATGAGATATTTGATGTAACATTCGGGAAAAGTAAATCGATAAATTAGTATGACTGAAATTCCAATCAATTTTTTGCGCTGGATCATTTTAAAGATTGAATTTCATGCTGGTGTGAAATTGTGAAATAGGAACTGCCATAATGAAGAGACGATTTTTATTATAAGCTTAATTGGGGAAGCAGATAGAGCCAAAGAGATATGCAGGATATTTTTCGTACATAAAAAGGAAATGATTTTCCAAAATCTGTATCAATCGATTTTCTGGATGAATGCTGGTATGGGAAGAGTTTAAACCCATTCCATAGAGGATGCACAGTACTTTATGATTTGTATTAGAGTTTGGATAGACTCGATGTAATCGTTTAAACATCGTTCGGACTAGTATTAAGGATGATCAATAGTTCAAACATAAAAGGATGCATTTTACTTCTTAAAACTTCAATTTAAGAATCTACAAACAAAACTTGATATCAGAACTTAATTTGTGAATAGCAAAATTGTAAGTTTTTCAAGTTTGTATCTTTACAAACTCAATAAGTTCTTTACTGATTGATTAAAGACAAATCAAGTCTTTAAAATGTGATGTTTACTGTCCGGATTCAAGTGAAAGACTCAAATGAACGTTATGGCTGATCTAAACTAAAATCAAAAACCAAATAAATCAAACCATTTGGAAAACTCATAATTCTTCGATCTTCATAAGCACAAGACCAAGTAAAACTTTTGACAGCACTTGTAAGTGAATATCAATAATAGTAAGTACTCTATAATGAATATTTAACGGAATTTAATTATGCAAGTTTTGAGAAAATGATAAAGGTAATGAGGAAAGTGTCTTCTAACATCTCAATAGCTTATGGTATCATCAAGAAGTAACATCAGGCGCCAAATTAATTTTGACTCATTAATTTATGTCTTCATTATTGCCGACACAAAATCACAATGAGGCGACAGCGCTGAAAAAAAGGAGGACAAAAAAATGAATAACTCATCTAGTGCTGCTTGATTACGTGCCCATTTTTTTTCTTTATAATACTCTTTAATTTCCTTCCTTTTCCTCTTTCTGTGAATTTTATCATTAAGATGAAGATTAATGATGGAAAACTTATGATAATGTCCATTTTACGCAAGGCATTAAGATTCTTTTGAGCTTCTTTTATTTAAAAAAAAAAACTTTGTCACTGTTTAATCTTTCTCCGTCCTTTTCTGTTTTATTCGTTCCGTTCATTCTCAATTTATTTTCATTAAGCTGTTGTAGAAACTACGGGAGCATGATTTTTATGCGAAATAAATTGGTTAATGTTCTTATTTTCTGTAAAATTTTGATTGCTGATGATGACGTAATTTTGTTGGTCCTCAAACTGGTGTCTTCCAGTTTGTTAAACATTTCGGTTTGTTACTTAAAACTAGCTTTGACACTTATTTGCGAGAATCATGTAAAAGTTGTCAATGCAGTGAATTCGCAAAGAGGAGATTGAAAATTTTAGGAATGTTCGAAATTGAATCTGTTTTGGAGCCAAATCTTTAAAATAATCATTTAATAATTTTTAATTGGCTCCAAACGCAGTTGGTGTTTTAATCGGATCTCCATTATAAAACACACATTAAAGATTTAATTAAACTGTTTAAGTTTAATACTAAAAAATTGAATTCAAATCTCAAACTAAGCATAAATAAAGTTGAAGTCATAAAAAAACTTCTATTTTAATTCAATTCTATATTATTAAATCTAGTTTTATGATTATAAAGTTTGAAGTGATGAAAAGAGCACGGAACGAAATTTTATGAGCAAAACGTATCCACCTAGTTTTCATTATTATTATTATTTGAAAAAAAAATATATATTAAAACTTTCCAAGCATGACAATATTCACTCCCATCCATTTTTCTCGTACTTCAAAACAAAAGTTTATTCACAAAATTGTGCAGTAGTGATGAATGGAAAACGGGAAAAAGACAAAAACGCTGCGATAGAATAAAAAAAACTTTTTCATATCCTTTTCGTGTTTATTTTTAACACAGCTGTTAATATAAATTGTAGAGTGGAAATATAAAGTTTTGCTTGAAATTCGTGTATAGTTCGTGATATTCAGTGAAACTAAACATTAGAGTGCTTTTGAGGTGTTTATTTAAAATGAAAAACTTATTTTTATTATGAGTTAACTGGTTGAACTATTTTGAGTTATGATTTAATAATAAAGTTAATGTTCTATTCGGTCCAATTAGTAGCAGTGTCAGGCGTGTAGCTAGGGATGAATATTCGGTTCACACCTTCATCCACCCTCGAATCGCACAAGTCGGTTAATTGATCAGTAATCCGGCACAAAACCGAAGTGACTCTGGCATAGTGCTGAAATCAAATCGAAATTAGCACCATGCCAGAGTGTCGATTAACCGACTTATTTCATTCGGGATCTCTATCCAAAATGGGATAAATAGCAAAGATAGAAGCATAAGGTTAATTCCTTGTCATGATCTCAACTTTTCCCACTATAAAAAAACCACAAATGAGACTTGAAATAAGAACCAGATCGTAATGTTTGCTGACGATATTCATACTAGTGAGGAAATCAACAAAACAAAAAAAAATCTGCGAATTTTATCATTTTAATTTATTTCGTTTTGTGTTCATAGCATCAGTGTCCGCAAAGTGGCGGTTTACTGCCACATTTTCATATTCATATTTCTCATTCACCCTTATTGTTGTTTTAAATTTTATTATATATGAATCCTTCTTGTTTTTATACAGTACCGTTCAAAACTGTTTCCATGTTTGAAGAAAAATTTTCTTTTCAACATATTATAAACTATAACATTTTCCCATCATGTTGTATATCGTTTCAAAGCTTGTTTAATAAGCTATGTAAAAATGATAAGCAACTTTGGAAAATATTTAATTAAAGTAGATTTTTTGCTTAAAATATACACTGTCACATGAAAACACTTTTGATCTTAAAATTGTTTTTCCAAAATTTGAAGCAAAGCAGAACTAATTGGTTAACGTTTGTTTATTATAGTAAAAAGCAATTAAAATATAAGATAATAGCACATAAATTAAGTTGCTAGACATAGTTAAAATATTTAAATAAGAATGTCAAATCGCATGATAAATTTTCATATAATTTTGCAAAAAATTACTGAATTAAAGCCAAATGTTGTAATGTTTGCATCTAAACAAATGTATTTTAGCTTACTAAAGCTGAAAAATAGTTTTTAATTGTAAATTAAGGCATTTGAAAGCAAAAAATTGATATCATTTCATGGAAACACTTAATTTTTCTTACTTGCAAACACAAACATTCAAAAAAATTTTATTATTTCCTCCACTTCAAATAACTTTAATCGCTTTTTCTGATAGATTTTATGTTAACAAAGATAACCGTATATGATTTATGTAGTCATTGTGAGAGTAAAAGGATTTTTTTGCAACTTTGTTGGTCAATGACAGCCATATTCAAAAAATTTTATAAGCATTTATAAAAAATTCAATTTTTTAAGTAAATATCGACTTTAGACAGTCCAATATGATCATTTATTATTATGAATTGGATTTTTAAGTTATTTTAAGAAAAGAAAATTTTTCTTCAAACATGAAAACGGTTTTGAACGGTACTGTATCTCTCTCAATTTTTGTAGTTGTTCTGATGAAATAAATTGATATGAAAATTAAAAAAAAAATAAAATCCGCATTGCCGTTTCTCTGTTTATGAATTTATTGTATTAATGTTTTATTGTGTTATGAAATTTTAATTTGCTTATAGTGTCACCGGACAACACGAATAGTGCTAAAGATAAAAATAATGTACATTTAATTATAAAATGATAAATGAATGTCACTGGGATTTCCTTTCTTTAAAGAGGAAATGAAGTTATTTAAGCTTCAGTTGGTTCTGCACAATGACGGAAATTAGGTGTCTGTATAAAATTGAGTAGCTTTTCATACTTTCGTTGCGGTTTGTAGATAAGCTCAGAACGTACTTAAATCAGTTAAGCAGTTAAGTGCCTTGCTGGTCGAATAAGTAAAGCGCTTGGCTCAAATTTGGGATGGTAACTCGAAGGTCGTCGGTTCGAATCCAGCCATTTCCAAATTTGTTCTTTTTCGGAAGTTTATATACTTCGACTGCTTAATGTAGGAGATCAAGCCATAATTGGGCATTTGGGCAACGTTGGATTAAGGAACGGGTCAGGAACTTGAAGTGTTGCGGAAGAAATAGGAACGAGAGCTATAAGATTACCCACGAATGGAATATTGTTAGAACGGACCTGAAAAGTATCACGGCACGCCTACAGAAGATCGAAACGAGAGCCTTAGTTTATTTGAAACCTAAATTTGAAGATTAGAAGTTTGATCCTACATAATACTAATTCATATGTATACAAATACAAAAGTGTAAAATGTGAATTATTACTGGATAGTATGTCGTCAATAAATGCAATAAAGTGCAATTAAAAAATGAAAAATGAAAAAAAAATGAAATGAAGAAATTAGTTGTTTTGGTGCTGTTGCTCAATTTATTATAAAACCCCCCTCCCTCCTAAATAGTAAGATATTATTTTTGAACGACTTCTAATCATATGTGATTGCAATCATTCTTGGTATAATTGCTTCTTAGAATCATTCATAATCACCAATAATTACTTACTCATTATCACTAAGAGCACTACAATGTATTTCTAATTACTAGCCTTCCAATAATTGGAATCATTGAATTCAATATTCTACATCAGAAATGAAATTGATCTTTAAATTCAATTAAGTTTTTTGAAAAGTTGAAATACTCAACTGAATGTTAAAATTTAAAATTTCCCGCACTTATATTGCATATTTTTCCCATGGAATTGTCATCAATCCATGTCACTCAGTACAGTCGATTATTAAAAACAAATAGTTTTGCAATAACATAATTAAATAAATTAAGAGGTTGTGTGTAGTTAATCAAATAGACTGTTAATGTGAGAAGATTAAATAATCTAGAGAGAATAAAATTGCATAGCAACGTTTTTAAAAAGTTGTTTATAAAGTCTTTAAAAAAACAGCAAGGATTTGTGTACTTAATTTAGTTATTTTGATCAAATATTAAAGGAATTTATTGCCATGAACGCAGTTTTTCTGTTAAATACAGGCTATTTAATTCCTCTCTTGGGTTGTGAGTTGAAATGCTTATAAGATTATATTATTAATAAAACAGTCAATAAATCAGTATTAATTAAACAGTCGGGACATATCAGATCACGGGGCCTGAGAAGATCTATAATGTACTCGATTATGCATTGAATGCTGGATACAGACACATTGGTAAGCATAATAAAGAAAACACTCATTTAATCAAGGGTCAGACACTTCAAAGTATTGTACGGTATTGTACAATACTTACAATACTTACAATACTTCTCATATAAATTTACAATACTTCACAATACTTACAATACTGAAATTTAATTATTCAGGAAACAAAGTTTTAAAGAAATTAATGTAAATAACATGGTTTTTGATAAATATTGAAAGTTAAATAAATTTTATTTATAAATTTACATTATTTATTGGAAATTAGCATTAAAAGTTTAGAATTTTCTGGTGAAATTGGTGTAGATCTTAATTTTTTTGCCTTATTTTTTAAAAGTTCACGTTTCTCATGCAGTACACACAAATGAAATGTTTAAATAGAAACATTAATTTGAAGATTTAAACTCTTGTTAAAGGGAAACATTGAATTTGTTTTTTAAATTGACTTAATTGCAACTAATTCTATGTTCAAAATATGGTTAGAAGCTAGATCAAGCTTAAATCATTATGATTTGGTGGTTTGGAGGCAGTTTAGGAAATCACGAAACTTAATTTTCGACAGGTACGAAAAGAAACGGTCAGTTCCACAAATTTTTTTTGACTTCAAGAGGTGTTTGCTTGATAAAAAAGCAACAAAAAAAAATTTTTGTGGATGTAAAGGAACTAGGCAGTTCAAGTGTCTATTCTTGCTTATGACTCATTAAACTAACGTAGATTACTAGGAAGCAGGTAGTTTCACATATGCAGTAAGATCCAGACATGCTTGATGAAGTCTAGTTATTTATATGCAAGCAGCAAGGCACAGAAGGTTAAAAATCACGAATTGGATTTCGTTTAAGTCAAACAGCATGGAACCATTGGTTGCTGTAAACTTTATTTAAGAAATGTTTGGATCTAAAAGATCCAGTTGCAAGATTCTGGCCGAAAAAGGATCAACTGCATTCTTACTTATGAGGAACTGCAACTGAAAACTGTTGATTTGAAAAAAAAAAATTGAGAAATTGCATACAAAAATTTTATTTGGAGGGATTTTAAAATCCCAATAAAAATCTTTCATACAAGAGATTTATATCAAAATCCCAAAGAAAAATCCTTTTGAAAAAAGATTTAAATCAAAATTAAAAATAAATTCAGAGATTTTGATTTAAAACGCAAAAAATCTCCCCACCCTGATTACAGCATCTTGATTTTTGTCCTGGCAATAACAATAAGAGTCTTAATCATCAAGATTTCATGTAAAAATTGAAATAATTCAGGGTTGTTAAAATATATATCCAACATATTTCACATGTTCACATACGAAAATGTGTGGATATGTGTGGATATCCACACATTTCCGTATATATCTCATGTGTGCACATATTTTCAAAACACACCAGATTCTATTTTTATCCACCCAGGTTGATTTTCCTAAATATTGATTTTTTTTGTAGACTATAAACAATTCTGAGTAAAACTTGAAAACATTTAATAAAACAATTAATAATTTTGTATTTTAAACAGTCAAAAAATGGAGAAAAAAACAAGAAAAACTTAAAAATCTTTAGTTAAAATCAAATTTATATTCTTTTAGAAATCTCAAAGTGTCCTGTAAAAATTACAATACTTTCCATACAAGTATTGTAAGTATTGTAGGTATTATACAATACTTTGATATGTATTGTTAAGTATTGTACAATACTGTACAATACTTTTGGAGTGTCTGACCCTTGCATTTAATTGAAGCTTAGATTTGGATTAAAACTTATTTTACGACTTCTTTTAACATCCACAGACTCTGCGATTGTGTACAGAAACGAAGCTGAAATCGGCAATGCTCTAAAAACTTTATTGCCAAAGTATAACTTAAAACGAGAAGATATTTTTATTACAACCAAAATTGGTAAGCTCGAAGCTCTCTTAATTGCGTCTCTTTCTTTTTGTGTCCTTGCCGAATGCATGTTGTTGCCATTTTTCTTCTCATTTGTTATGCGGATATCTCGTAAAACTGGTTCATCAAGTCGATGATGTCACTTTGGAACTAAGTAGAATTTGTGCATAACAACAGATTGTGAATCGCAATTAATACGATGATTTATTTGCTTAGCAACCGACTCGATAGAGATAAAGTAGATCCAGAGGGCTCATTAATATTAATTCTACTAGCATTTTAGGATCCAGTTAAGCATGCAATTTTTTAACGGAAAAAATTTGAATTTAAAATGCAAAAATACGTTAAAAATTTTAATTTTTATTGATCTCTGAAATCAAGTATAATCCTCAAATTACAGACTTAAATGCTTTCAACCTCCTCCTCCCCGCATGTTTTTGAACTTCATGTATTGAATTTTACATTCGCTTTGCTTAAAACGTGCTTTTTCATTTTCTGTTCTCTTGTTTTTCTTTCCATTTCCGTTCAGTACCTTCGTCGAAGCATTCTGAACAGGACGTCGAGAATTTAGTAAAGGATTCGTTAAGGAATTTACAAACAAATTATATAGATTTGTAAGTTGTGCTTTGAATTAATTAATTCCACGTTTATGAAAATATGTTTCCTGTCCTATTTTCTTGCTGTTATTTGTTATAAATTAAAGGTTTTTGATTCACTGGCCTGGCGCGTCTGGATTGCAGCCAGGTGATCCGAAAAATAAGAAGCAACGACTTTTGACTTGGAAGATTTTGACGAAATTCAAGAAAGAAGGTCTTTTAAGGTCTGCTGGCGTCTCTAACTTCCTTATTAAGCATTTGGAAGAGTTGGTCGACGACCCTGAATACGAAACACCTGCTGTCAATCAAGTAATATATGGTTTTTGATCCAAAAATGCATTTGAAAACGCCCAAACCCATATCCATTAAATTTCTTCAAACACCTAAAATCCTTGAGCAAAATATTGATTTATTTACGAAACAAAAGTCAGATTATTAAGTAATTCCTGATTTGTTATTTCCCCTTATTTACATATTCCCATAAAATTTCATTAATCAAGTCATAGCTGATAGTCACGAAAAAAAGCGTTTAGCAATCACGACATGACTAAATTTCCTTAATTGACTAATAATATTATTTTATTAAATCATCTAAAATCACAAACAAAAAAATAGGTCGAGTGGCACCCACGCAATCACAATTCAACCCTTCTCGATTACTGTCGCGAAAAAGGAATATTCCTACAAGCGTATAGCTCACTTGGAACATCAGGCTCATCATCCCTTCGTGAGGATTCAACTGTACGTCAAATTGCTCAAAAATTAGGAAAATCCTCGACACAAGTATTATTGCGTTGGGCATATCAGCAGAATATTGGCATCTTGCCAAAGGCATCGAGTCGTGCACACATTGAAGAAAATATCGATTTGGATTTCGTGATTCCAGATGAAGACATGAAAACATTGAGTGACTTGAAGGTCAAACAGAAATTTGCTTGGGATCCGACTGTTGTTGCATAAAAGAACGTTTTTGTCTTCCTTTATTTTTTTTATTTTTTTCTAATTATCAAATTTTAAGAGACTTGAGATTCAATTATTAATCACGTAGGAATTAAAGAACTTAATATAATTATAATGGTGATGGAACAAAGTGATTTAGCAAATAAGATTTCTGAATTGTGCCTCAATTTTTATAATAAACTGCCGAATGGTAACAAGTATAAAGCATCAGAATGGACAATTCTCTCGGCAATATGTATGCAACGTGACACAGACAAGTTTGAAATCGTCAGCATGGGAACGGGTACGAAATGTATTGGAGCAAATATGTTGACAGCTAATGGTGACATATTAAATGATTCTCATGCTGAAGTTCTAGCACGTCGTGCATTCATACGCTTCCTATTGCATCAGATTAGCTGTGTAAAGGATAATAATAGTGATGCAAAATCGATTTTCCAACTCGATGAGAAAAGCAAGCGTTTCAAGTTAATGGATAATGTAAAGTTTCACATGTTTACGACCTCAACTCCGTGCGGTGATGCTAGTATTTATGCTACAAATGACAATCACGATGAACCGGATACGAAACGTGTAAAGTTAAATGACACATTACCAGATGGATTTACTGGGGCAAAGTTAATGTTTGATGAGGATGTGGAGGATCCAATGGAGCAGACGGAAGGAAAGATTCGTATAAAACCAGGCAAAGGCGACCGTACTATGTCATTATCGTGCAGTGATAAAATTGCACGTTGGAATTTAGTCGGAATTCAAGGATGTATGTTATCATCATTAATCCATCCAATTTATGTCGAAACTATTATTCTGGCTGATGGAACTCCATATAATCAGAATGCAATGGAACGAGCATCATGGAGGAGATTTGTTGATGCTGAAAAGTTTCTTGAATTTCCATTCAAGTTAAACAAACCGAAAATTCTTATTGCAAATAATAAAATGAAATTTAAATTTGCTCGAAACGATAAGGAACGTATAAATCCATCGTCAAATTCTATCATCTACAGTCAACTACCGGAAAAGATGAGGTAAGCATAAAACTTTAATACATTTTAAGCGTATTTATTGAAAGAATAATACTTTCGTTACATTGTCTTTAAGTCACAGTTGCTTTTCTAGTAAAAATGTGCTTTTATCGCCCACAAATGACCACGTCTATAAGTCTTTATTATAGCCTCAAACTTTAACTTTCTTCCTCTTTTTGCATCTTCTTCCAATTTTCATTACAGACCCATCGAAGTATCTGTGGGCGGTAAACGTCAAGGCGTCACTAAGAAGCATTTACAATCACGTAAAGCGCATTTAAAGATATCCAAAATTGAATTATTCACTGAGTACATGAGCATCTTGAGCGAGTTTAGCGAATTAAAATCACATTTATATTCAAATGCCATTAATTTTGATGATTTATGCTATAACGACATAAAATCTTTACCAAAGAATGAATATTGTGTGCAATGGAAGCGTTTGAGGGAGGGATTATTGCCGAATTGGACCACGAAAAATGAAAATTTATCGAATTTTAAATCGTATTTTTGTCACTAATTCTCTCGTTCTTGTTGAAACTTAATGAAATTTTTTTTACCTATATAAAGTTCTATATATATTGTTCCTAACTGTTACTACTTCCTTTTTTTTCTCTTTTTATACATAGATAGAAGTTTGAATTTTAATTATTAAATATCGATATATTTCAATAAAGATTGAATTTTTCTTCCTTAATGATTTATTGCCTTACTTTGATGTACGATGATTTCATATTTTTGAAGATATTTTGCCTTGCAGTTGTTTTTGTTCACAAGAGTTTTAAAACTTATAGAAGCATAATATTAATGTTTTTCTAGGTATTGCGTTGTTTACAAAATTTAAAATGTAACCTGATTAATTTTGTGCTTATTCATGCTCTTTATATGTCTGTTCTTATTGATTGAGTGATTGAACTGTGCTTGTGCATCATTTTGCTTTAAGATTATTTAGAAATTTTGGATAATATGAAATTAAATTGATTTTATTGGTGGAATCGAAGAACAGCAAACTAGGAGTTACTCGTAATTTAGTCATAAAAGAGAACTCTAAGTTAATATGATGAATTAATCTATTGAATCTTTAGATATCTTACAACTGTGAAGACTGCAATGTTTAAACAAAGTTTGATAATATTTCAAATTCTTCAACTCAATTGCCTTTCTCATCTAATAACAACTATAAAGATGTTCAGAATGTTACAAAACAAACCTAATTACAATAAAACTCAAATTAGCATTCTACAAATTCATTAAAAACTTCCGCATTTTCAATGTTTAATTCAATCCAATTATCCAGCTTATTTCAAAGCATCAACGATAGTCAGTCCTTCAAGGAAAATGTCATCCAACACCTTCAAAATCTCAACCTTCCCTGAAACTCTTTTTCATCTTCCACGAAATTCCTTAAAGACATTTTCATGATTTTTGTTCTGAATCTGTTGCTGCTCGTTTGTTAATAATAATAAATTATTCATCTAATGATTCAATTTACAGACTCTTACATCCCCCACCATTACACGTCTCACGTCTTTATTATTATATTCACATAATTATTTTCACATTTCTTTCATCATTACCGCCGTGATGAAGTTCTGGTCGTAAACAAACTTTAATGTATATTCTCTGTCATCCAGTGTTTGTCAAACTTTTGTGTTGTGGGAACCATATTTATGGTGATGCGACTCAAACAAGGAAACGAGTGATCAGCTCCTCAACCTTAGGTTTCGAAATAAATTAGTTTCTAGGAGAAAGGCTAGGGTTGCTTCTGAAAAAGACTAGATAAGGTGCTTGTTTTACACATTTTAGTAGGGCTTGAGCTTTAATTTCAATTTTATAATTTTGCTTATAAACAAAAATAAGGGACATTATGAAAAAATTGTGGCATAAATAATGAATAAAACAGCATGTTTCAAACCTTTTTGTTGTAGCTATGCTTATATTTTAATCAGCGGATTTGACTAACACCTCAAAACGGGTTTCTAACCTCTCTTAGAAATGGTTTTTAAGGCTACTAGGAGTACTCAAACTTAGTCACAATCAAAAGTTGTGTATTTTCTACGATGTGGTACATCGATTTTTAAATATAAAGTAAAGTGCACCTCGAGTTGCCACAGAAACCTACTTCTGAGCTCTGGTCAGTTTGGAGTAGTTAAGTAAGGAACAAAAAATGAAATCAAAACACCATCAAACCATTTGAGTCCTCTAATAATTCCTCGTCACTAACATAAACTAGTGTATCGGGTAGAAACCCAATGCGGATATATTCACACCGTACCATCAAAAGTCTTATGGATAGACCAAGATTTGCTCAGCATAAATTTGAAGGGTGGGCGTGAAGTACGGCCGAGACGCATATCAACACAGTTCAAAAGTTATACCTAATTTTTGTCATAATTATGTCAGCTACAAAAACACTTAGTTTGAATTTCGTCACCCTTGGGAACACTATGAACCAGTATAGCTCACACTTATTTGAACCACATTTTCTCGTTAATGTTAAAATATTATTAAAAAGTAATTAAACCTGAATTATGTCGCTATTTTGTCAAGTGTTTTAAGATAAAGAATTTGTTTTTTGGTTTCCACAGTGAAGAGTATGAACAAAATTCAGATGGGGTAGTCGAAATTTTAGATTTCGGTTTTTTTTAAGCTATGCATTACAAAAAGTAATATTGGTATGTGATTTTTTTTGACTAAAGTACACCATTGAAAATCAACTTTCAATTTTGGACTAGGGGCGACCCTAGTCAAAATCAATTTTGTCACTTTTTTCTTCGAGGGTTTATCCAAATGGATTGAAACTTTGCATAAATATTTAGTGCTTAAAACAAATACAAATAAAATATCCTAAAATTTTTTGAGCAAAGAACCAAGTAGGAAATACATTTTCGATTTGGACTAGGGGCGACCCTAGTCAAAATCAATTTTGTCACTTTTTTCTTCAAGGGTTTATACAAATGGATTGAAACTTTGCATAAATATTCTAATGCTTTAAACAAATACAAATAAAACATCCTTAAATTTTTTGACCGAAGAACCAAGTAAGAAATACATTTTCAATTTTGGACTAGGGGCGACCCTAGTCAAAATCAATTTTCTCACTTTTTTCTTCGAGGGTTTATCCAAATGGATTGAAACTTTGCGTAAATATTCAAGTGCTTAAAACAAATACAAATAAAATATCCTAAAATTTTTTGAGCAAAGAACCAAGTAGGAAATACATTTTCAATTTTGGACTAGGGGCGACCCTAGTCAAAATCAATTTTGTCACTTTTTTCTTCAAGGGTTTAACCAAATGGACTGAAACTTTGCATAAATATTCTAGTGCTTAAAACAAATACAAATAAAACATCCTAAAAATTTTGAAAACTAGATTTTGACTGGACCTGTCCCAAGTTCATAATTGAAAATGTATTTTCTACTTGGTTCTTTGCTCAAAAAAATAATTTTTCATCCAAAGTTTAATTTAAAAAAAATCACAGTGAACTTTTAATTTGAAAAATTCGTAAGAAAGGAAAGTTTTTTGCTTTTTCTGAAGCAACGGCTGTTCCTACCTTGCCCAAAAACAATACAGCTCTTCTATAGAGCAGCACGGATCAAATGTAAAAAACTAGAAGTCTCTACAATGTCTCGTTATTGAGATTTATTGCTGATTAGCTTGCTTGCTTGCTTGTTTGCTTACTTGAAAGCGTATTTTGCGATTTTCTCAGCAATGCCATAACCAATTTGAAATCTGTTTTTTGAAAATGATGTAAAATTTCAGGAACAAACTTTTCATGTCTGAACATTTTAAGCTATCTTGCTCCATATCCTCACAAAATTCAAAAAGCTGATCCTTCAATCTGATCAAAACGAATAGATTTACACGTGAAAATGGTGTGAATATAAAAAAATAAAAGCGTAGCTGCAACAAAAAGGTTTGAAACATGCTGCTTTATTCATTATTTATGCCACAATTTTTTTTATGAAGTCCCTTTTTTGAGGAGAAGGTACAGACTCTGTTTATGGATATTTAACATCATTCGAAGCGAAATTTATGAAAATAAAATCAAAAATGCATAAAATATGTTTTCTTATGCTGTCCCAGCTCACTTCCTCGCTTTTAAAGTTGTTTAAGAAACTTTTACATGATAACGATTATGACAAATCATTGATTTTAAAATACATGCCCTCATAAATTTATGTGTGTACATCATGACAGAGCATTATTCTCGCTCAATTTCCGCACACATTTATTTTCCATTTTATTATCATCATGACAAATACACAAAAAAATGTATATGAATAAAGCAGAACTAGGTAATCATTTATGCTTTTCATCACAATGACACTTTCCGGATTGCTTCTATGCCTTCTCTGACACTCTCTCCGAGGAAATTAAAGTTTCTGTCACTTTACTTGAGTATCCTTGATTGCTTTTATTCTTTTGTATTTTTTGCTAGTTTTGTGCACTGCAGTTTTATGAACAAAACAAATGCGGCATTGTTTTTGACTGGCACTTCTGATAGGACTTGCTTTCTAGCTTTTCACAGTGAACTTGTTTGTGTGAATTTTATTAAAATCCATCCTGAATGCAGATTAGCTTCATGTGTTGAACGATCTTTCAAGTTTGATTGAAATTTTTCAATCCCAAATGGCACATTTCCTTGAAATACATAAATTGCTATTGTTCAAGGTATAAATTGGAAATATAAATATTCAACAGTTTAATGATTTGTTTATTTTATTAGAATAATTTCCATAAACAGCATTGTGACTAATAAATTTTATGCTGTCGCATTATTAAGTCAAATGCCGATTTTGTTGGCAGTTGATGTGAATAATTTGATGAGATTAGATTTAGTAAAGCTGAACTGAATGATCTATAGAAGTGTTTGGCGAACATTTTTGATTGGCTGATGAAAGGTTATGTTAAATGCCGAAGATTCAATGTAGAAACTTAGCTTTAACTACTTAAAGAACTTATAATTAAATATTTTAATAAAGACAGTAAAATTTTAACAACTTGTTCCGAATAGGAATCGAGCCCGTGCTTTTTGATTTATATCTTTATGCTCTAATTGAATGTTACTTTGTAGATTAGCAGGATGTCAACTTTATTTCGACAATATATCTTCTATGAGCCGTTCACTTATTGCGTTACGCAAAAAAACGACTTTTTTCACCCCCCTCCCCCCTTTGTTACAATATGTATGTTACAACTCACCCCCCCCCCCCCCCCTGAACGTTCATAATTTATTTTATCATTAATAAGGTGGAAAATTTAAACAAATTTTTTTCGTGAACTTTTTTTAAACGACAGACGACACTTAGAACGTTACATACTTCTTACATTTTGTTACAATTTTTCAAACCCCCCTCCCCCTTAAAATGGGAACGTAATAAGTAAACGGCCCCTATGATATCAACCTAATTTGAACTCCTAACTTCACTGAAAATAGCTTACAAAAGAGGCTTTAAGCTCCAGTTCCTGTGATTTTAAAAAACGAAAATTTGCATTTACAGCTCACAAAGTGAAACCTTTATTGAATATTCTTGCTCATTTACTTTGGTTCGAAATTGCAAATTCTCAAAAGAAAAAATCAGCCTCCAATGCAGCTTTATACTGAATATGTATTAAATTCTTGAATTCTGATTCAAAATCATCCAATTAATTCAGAAATTCAAGGTTCTCAACAAAAAATAACAATTCATGATTCGGAATTTTTCCGCATTAAAAAATGAATATATTTATTTGCTTACCTTAAGAAAAGCTTGCATTAATTCGGCTTTCTGTGTCACGTACTCAAGTGCTATAAGGATCTATATACCGAGAACCCTTTACCTTGTTAGCTAACGCATGCAGAAATAATAATTCCCGTGAAATTGCTTAACACATTCTCGGAAATGTTTTCCAGCAAGCATAAAGTTTACTACTGAAGCCATCACATGCTGAGAAGGTGAATGAAACAAGCTCAAGGATAAATTTTATTTTCATGTGAACAGAATGTTTTTCACTTCTAATTTATTTGTTCATGTTATGTGTCACATAAAAAAGTCGAGATTTCTGACACTCAACATTCATTTAGTTCAGATTGATTTTTCATAGCTATAAAGTAAATACAAACATATTTTGTTTTTCAAAGATCCTTAAACATTAAAAGTGACAGTCTAAAAGATTTCATTACAAAGTACAATAAAAAAAATTCTTGAGTATTTCCATTCATTCCTTAAATATGAAAAATTATAAAAATATGATTAAGAATACTCGACAAAATAAATGGAATCTATGGAGCTGGGGTCGTTCAGTTATAATGTCTAGCAGAGCAATTGTCAGAGATTTATTTTCTATGCTGTTTTTGGAGAATTAACGCTGCTTTTAATATCCTTCAATTCATAGCTTATCTCAGCAGAAAAACCATCAAAATTTGGACAAAAGCCTTACAATTGACATTCTAACCGAACAAATCCAACCGGAAAGACGAAACGAAAAAAAATATCGATTGTCGAGTGAAATTTTAGCATTTAAGCGGCACACAGCCCACACCAATGTCAGGTAAACATTTACATTCTAAACACTCATTTGATAGTTCATCTATGACATGACCCACATCATACATCTGTCCATATATATTACATCCGGCAAGCTTTAATAAACCATTCATTGTCGGATTTGTTGGTTTCGAAAATATTTCCATCATGCTCGGAGCATTTTTCATTGTTGTCGTTGAACTTGTTGATGACACTTTTAAATGTTTAATAATGAAATCGTCATCGTTGATTATCGATTTGATAGGAGCACTTGTTGATGATGAATGAGTTGCCGATGCCGTTGTCGTTGTGATGAGTGGCATTTTCGTTTCTTCTAACGCATTCGCATGCAACAAATCATCTATGAAGCTTGTGAGATTCGATGATATCTTTTTGAAACCGGATATTGTTGTTTTATGTTTCTCCTTTTGTTGATTTTCTCTCGTATCATTCGTTTGATTTATTGCCAAAGTTGGTGTTTTCTCGGTTGAAGTCAAATATGATTTATGCTCATGAATTGTTGAAGCTTCAGTTTTGTTTTATGTAGCGTAGACGAATTGAAAAATGAAAGAAAAAAAAGAGAATGAAAAATATAGATATTCAGCAAGATAAGAGAAACAAGGAAATGGAAAATGAATTTTTCGTCTTTTTCTTCTCGCGTCGATTCTCAATAAAATAACTTTTGCTGTTCTTTCACTTGAGGGATTCGATGGGAAAAATATTTTTATAACATTTTCTTTTTTCTCTTTCAATATTGAGTGCAACTTGAATAAGCTTATGCTTTTTCTTATTTTTTTCTCTGTTTATTCTGCTGTGAGAAATTTGTGTTTATTGAATAAAGAGCTTTGCTTCTATTGCAGTTTGTGTCAGTATTATAATGATGGAGGTTTCTAAGTATAGCTGGATCAACGATAATACCAAAGACAGTGTTCAGACTAAGAAATTATTTAAGTTGACATTGTGCCAAGATTGTTAGCAACCTTCAATAGCTCAAATGTATAAATAGTTGACTGGAAATCTTAAGAACACGGGTTCAGTTCCTGCTCGAGACAAGTTGTTCGAAAAGGTTTCCTCTTTTCTGTGAAATAATCAATATAAAGCTCCTAAAGAATCATAATCAAATTCAAGCGCAAATTGAAGATACTTGAAGACATTGTAGGCTGTGTAGGAACATCACAGCTTCAAATCAATTTTAAAATGCGCCACATTTCTTCCAATTATTAAAGTTCAAGGATTCGTCAATTTAAAAAACTTTTCAAACAACTTTTTCATTCAAAACGCGTCACAAAGCATGTACAACAACTTTCTTCGATCCATTTCGTTTTTCAAAAATTTATATTTCATGTTCATCGATTGACCCAAGTTAACCTTTGATCTCATTTATGCTGTCTTGAGACTTGAGCAGATGTTATCCATAAGAATTTTTTCCAGACATAACTGAATGATTTTATGAACACTCGGAGATTTCTAAGGCATTTGCAATGTACAATATCAGAATATTAAATTTGATCTGTTTTGAATTTGTATGAAAGACTCGTAACATTATAGAAACTAGAGTCTGTGTGAAATATGCATGAAAATCGACTGAATTAATTCCATTAATGAATTAAAATGGAAATGTGAGACAAAAGAAGTGGAAAAGCTCAATGAACACTGTCGTGATCTAATGTGTATCAAATTTCCTTGTGTCATGTTGTTTCTCTAGGAAGCTTAATTAAAACGGAAAGGTGAATGACATCTCAGTGAACTGAATATCAATTTTAATGATATCAATGAATGAGCTAGAATTAGAAATTTTGGTGAATAATTAGGAGGGATGCTACATTAATCAATCAGAGCAATATTAAAAATATCCTTTTCAGCACATTGTGTCGAGAAGGTATTGTGTCATACCAGAATATTTGTATTGTCTAGTCTTCTTCTGTCTGGACCTGGGTTTAAATCCCATCAAAAGGCTGATTTTCAATTGCAAAGAATATTGTTGATTTTTGGGACCAATCAAATATTCGCCTTTACGTCATTTAAATATTTTCTTAACTAGAATGTGCAGATACAAGTCTGGAATAAGACCTTTTAGGATGCAGCTAAAGGGATGATTATGTAGACAAACAACCTCACTGCTTTACACTATCTCCGAAAAATGGAACAAAAGTATTTAATGTTTAAATCCTCTTTACAAATTCTGGGTACACAACTGATATAGTTCCATTCAAAAGCACAACTTCATAAACCGAGACATATAAAACAATTTAATACTTTTACGAATATGCCGTCATAAAAAGTTGTCGCAAAATTCTCAAATAAATGTTCATTCACACTAAGCCGATGATGGATTTATAAAAGCTGACCATTTTCTGCATCAGTTTGGAAACTTTTTCATGCTCAATTTTCATCAAAAGTCACGAAGCAAAAAAAAAAGTCTTTATATGTCTATTCAAAAATGATGATTACAGCAATAACTATCCATATCGATTCGACCAGAAAAGAACGAAAAAATCAAATAAATGAAAAGAATGAATCTTACTGTCAAGTGGCTTTTGAATGTAATCATTATGCTTTAGTGGCGTTTCATATTTGGCACTTGTGGACACTTCATCATAAATGCTATCTTTCGGACTGAATCCTCCTACAAAAGAGAGAGAAGTGAAAAAGAAATATTATGTAGAAGAATGGAAATGAAAGAAAGAAGCTTAATAAGCAGTATTGTGTAAAAAATGACGAGAAAAAAAAAGAATCGGAAATAAAGGAAGAAAAATTGACCACACAAAAATGTGATCAATTGCAATCATGAGGAGATTATGTTCAATATATTATTGGCATTTACTCATCGATGATAATAAAAGAGACAATCAAGTAACTGGAATGGGCTGTTCTGTTTAATTTAGAAAGCATCACTTACCCAAAAAGTCTTGCTCGTTGGGTGGCGAGAATGAATCAAATTGACTCTCATTATTCTCGTAGTAAAATGGACCGGTATCAATTCTTTCATTTGGGTTGACGTAATCGAACGTTTCATCGTAATTATGATGAATGAATTTATTATTGTATCGGAATGGCTTCTCCTTATCATTTGCAAAATAATCCTTTTCTAGGTTGTCATACGATGATTGACGATACGGCAGCTCATACTTATCTGTTTTAATGGCATCATGAGCAACAAATGGTATAATTTCTAAATTTGGCAATGCATCTGCCTCATTTTCATCATTTACAATTAGTTTCGAATCGGAAGGTACGTCCGCAGTATACAAAACTGGCAAAAGTTGATGCTCGAGTGATGATGGCACAATATATTTCTTGGGTGTCGTCGTTCTCATAGTTGCAGGCGGTTTTGTTGTTGGCGGTACTGTTTTTGTGGTTACTCGCTTTGAACTTACTACAGTTGATGATATCGTCGTCGGTAAATTGATTTTCACAGGTGATGCGGTTGCAATTATTTTTGTCGTAGTTGATGTAACTTTTGGTGCTTTTGTTGTACGAGCTGTGGTCACTTTAATTGCTGTAATTAAGAACAGAATGTTACATTTTAGCATGAGACTGACTTTATTTTATTTTTTTGAAAAATGCTGTGTAATTTAAGTGTCTTGATTTTCCGTTTGCTGTGAAAGATTTATTGACTCTATGAATGAGAAATTTTAAATTGATATTCATGTTAAAACACTAGGCAGTAGTAAAATTGCTGACTGATTCATTTATGGTGGTGGGAATTTTCTGCATATCAGTATTTTCATCTCTGTTGATGTTCCATTAAAAATGTTTGTGACTTGGGTCGATGTACTTGAAACACGATAGAAGCATTACAATTTACAAAAGTTCTAGTTCAGCAAGTCAACAAAAATAAGAAGTTTGTTTCATAATGTAATTAAACAAGAGTCTGTTTATAAATCACTCTATAAAATCTAATATTTAATGAAGATGATGTCGAGTTTTTGTAAAGCGTAGGGGAAAGAATGAAAAGTTTTCAGCATGTCGATGATAAAAGAAAGTTTCAAGGGGTTTTGAAGGAAAAATTAATTTTTCATTTTACCTGACGCTTTAGTTGATGACTTTATTATAGTCGGTGAAGATGTTGTTTTCTCAACTATGCTCATTTTCGTTGAACTTACTACAGCATCAGATGTAGATTTTATTGATAAAGTTGTTGATGTTAATGGCAAAGTTTCAACAGTATCTGTTATTGTTTCAAGCTTTTTCGTTTCATTTACATTAGAAGTCATTGAAGTTCTGATTTTACTCGCTTCTGTACTTGCATCGAAAGTTTTTTTCTCTGTTGATTTTATGTCGTTTACAGTTTTTGTTGATGGTAAAGATGTTGTTGAGACAATCTTTGTTGAATAATTAAATTGAATTTTTTTGTCTGTACTCTCGAGAGTAGTTCTGGGTGCTTCGGATGTCGTTGGTATTGTCTGAGTTGTTGATATAATATTATTTAATTTAGTGTCAATTTTATCAGCATTAGCATCAATAATTTCTAAACCAGCCCTAATGAGATCAAAGAAACTGCTTTCGGTCGTTGCCGATGTCGGTAATGATTTGAAAGGGGGCAAAGTTGGGACTGGAATTTCCGTGACTTCTTCATTCTCTTTTGGATCATCGGAGCCAAAAAGAAGTGAGAAGAAATCAATTGAGTCGTTGTCCTCTTCTTCTTCATCCTCATTCTGTCGTGATTCTCTTTTAAATTTTATCGATCGACGACAATCGTAGCTTGTTGGACAGCACGAACCTTCCGTGTGTAGCTTTGGAATACAACCTCGAATAACCGGTGCACATTTATTCACCGTACATTTTCGTGCTCCTTTAATGCAATAACATACTTCACATGGTCGTGTTTCATCGATTGGAAGTTTCTCTCCTTCCTCATAATATCTATCATTCTCCATGCATCCTATCGGAACGTGAGAATATGAACATAAATTAATTTAATGTAACTAGAATTCCAACATACCGTTACTTCGATTTCTTCTATGGACATTTGCTATTTTGTTATCACTTCCTTGTCTGATATTGCTTATTACGGCTGTAGAATTGTTGTTACAATCATATTTTATCGGACAGCATGATGCTTTCGAGTAAATTGGCTGGAAATTAATTTTAAATTTAATTACGAAAGTTTTTTAAAAGTTTGAAAAATAAATTATCATAAATTTTAATATAAATTGACTTACTTTACATCTCGTATCCTTTAATATACATTTAGGCTTCACACATTTTTGTTGACCTGAGGGGAAATAAAGATTTTAATTGATTCTAGTTGGGGAAGTATGATTTATAGTGCTTTTGTTATTGAATTGCTGCTGTGGAATGGTTCACTTAGTATGTGACTTGAAAAATAAGAGTGAGTAAGTAAGAAGCTAAATTGATTCCTGATTTGAATATCAGAAGTTAAATTTTACTCAAAAATTAGCAAAACAATTTAAATGCCAATTAACAATTAATTGTATCACACAATACGTGCCAACAGCACTAGTGCTAGCTTTAACGACAACGTTATTCAATTTAATATTTTTTACCAATTACCTAATAAAAATATAATTGAATTAATTATGCATAATTAATAAAGCGATATTTACCATTAATGCAGTAACAATATTGGCAGTAACTTGACGAAGACCGATACATTGCAGAACCTCATAAATAAGAGAATAGAAAACGAAAATAAGAATAAAAATAAAACAAAAAAAATATCCAATTTTCAAAGCGATTATGTCAAATCACCTGATGCGTAAAGACTTCCACTTTCAATGCAGCCTGTTAAAAGAGAATTAAAAATTTTTCGTGAATTGAGCATACATTCATAATATTTTTGTTTACAATCATTCCGTATAATCTTAAGAGCAACAAAAAGCTCACGCTTTGTTTACGTTTCTCTCTTAAAATCTTTCTTTTATACTCCTTTCTTCTTTATAAATCTCACCTCCATTCATCTCTTCCACATCATCTGCTCGAGAATTTTTCTCCAATGTTTTCTCATGCGTGATCTGTTGATAATGATTGTTTATGTTCTCATCATGATTTCTCTCAGAGTTCTTATAATAATTGACATGATATTTTGAGCATGAGAGGTATGGACAGCATGAGGATGCTTTTTGTACGAGTATGCAACCTCGCGGCGGTGGATAGGGCTGTGTTTATCGGAAGATGTAAGAACAAATATATTAATATCAACGAGCATTGCAAGTACATCATTTCTTATGTTTTATCTTCTTGATTATGTTTTGTTTTACTCGTTGGCAATTCATTAGCTTTTGGACACTTTTAGGTCAGTTTGGGTGCAAAGGTCAATGAATTTGGGTTTTAAAATTTTTAGAAAATGCCAGTTGCTTGAAAAAGCAGCTTTTGTGATATTCTTTCATTCAAATTATGGTTTAAAACTAAAATCTATTAAACTTAGAACAATAACATCCAAAAGTAAGAAGAAACAGCGTTTAAGAAATGAACACAAATTTTCTCAACTCGTTCTTGAATAAGAGTAAGTAAACCAGCGGAAAAAAGAATAAGAACAACAAATGTGTACAACTCTTTTTTATCTTTTTAACTTATTCTCAGTTCTTTCATTTCCTTTCGCCACAACGTGACTCTTTAAACTTCATTCAACTTACCTGATCTTTGCACACACGTCGTACACAGACTAAATTGCGCTTTGAACATTTACAAACTAGACATGGCTCAGTAGTCGGTATAATCGATGTATCAGCAAACATTGTATTATTGTGAAGACATCCCATTTTCGATGATTCTATGCGTGTCATACAACAAAAATTAGTCAAATCAATTCTTTTTTTGCTTGTGCTCAACACTTTAATGGAATTTGAAACGCCGCAGGCGAAATCAATAAAAGCAAATGAAAGAAATTAAAGGTATGAAGTTTTTTACGATCGTACAGGCATGCGAATGGTTTGCGCACTTATTACAAAATGATAATTGTGCTGTGGAAGGTTTTGATGGCTGGATGGAATTGGATTGGAATTTTGTAGTATGTAGTCGTTTAGGAATGAGTGAGTAGTCAGAATCTTTATCACAAAAAGTCGTATGTTGAGGATATATCAACTGTCATTTTATTTATATTGAAGATGTTAAAATGTTTTAATTCAGTCTGGTTTTAAAACACGTAGATCAAAATGCGCCTAATTTACTCTAGTTTATCTTAACTTCAGCTTCCGTCAGTTCACTTACAGCAGAGTTATCTCAACTAAGCAAAAAAAAAACTGTGTCTCTGTGAACCATTTCCACAATAATCTCTCATTAGTTCTCTTTTCTCATATTCTATAATGTCCGAAACCCGAAATGAGAATAAGAAATGCGAGATGACAGAAAGATGAAGTAATAAGGCAAATTATACAGTGAATAATAAAGCATTAATTAATAAGCTTTACATCTAATGAGATATATCTCATATTAATTTAATTGTCTTCCTTCATTACTCATTTTTCTTCTCTTCGCTAAGACTTCTTTCTTTAATGCTAAAATAATACTTCTGTAGAAATTCACAAAAAAAAAAATGCTGAAAAATAGTACACAGCACCGATCATTCTGTGACATAAAATGATGAATTGTTATTTTTTGGATATGGGAATGAAGAATAAGCTTAAGTAGGTCATTAGCCAAAATGTCTGTGAAGTTTTTTTTTTTGTTCTTAATTTTGTAGTGTGAAGTGGATTGAAGAGGATAAGAAGACACGCCAGATGAATAAGAAATGCCGTTGAAGAGTTGAAAACTTTTTAATTCAGCAATTATGCAATTTTCGATTTAATTTTTCCATCTTTTTCATGCCTAGAAGTAGCTCATTTGGAAAGAAATGCAAAAGTTTGTCTATTTTAATGGATTCTGAAGACTGGCAGAAGTTTCCTGTTCATCTTAATTTTAATTAGTTTTGAAAACTTGTCTTGTGATCTAAAGAAATTTTTAACGACATCTTTTTTTTTAGGTTAAACTGTACATTGGATTTGTTTATATACGCAAATATCTTCTATTTCGGATAGAAACGACTGTCGTGTAGCACAGATTCTCTGTTTTAGCATTTTTAAATGAGCGCCTGAGGTGATCATTCCTGAATTTAAAAGAAGTCTTACAGTAGATGTGGTTGATCACAAATGATGCCCCATATTTGTGGTTGGAAGGTGTATTCTAGAACTTTTTAGGATTTCTATGTTATAAAATGATATTTTGTAATCAAGTGTTGTAGAGGGAAGATTGAAAAGTTCTAACGTAAATGGACGTAATTTTTGAACATAATTCAATCTGTTCAAAGTATCTAATCCAAAATAATTGAATTCTCTTAGAACATTCAATAATGATATAGGCATGTAATGATTTATTCAATTAAATATCTTAATCTATCTTAATAAAAATAAATCCTTCGAATGTTTAGGCTTTAAAAATGCAAATCATGCTCAAGGTCACTTGGGAATATTCTTTTGTTGTGGCTTAATTTAGTCACGCAAAGCATGACAGTGAAAAATTTAAAAGAGAATCTTTTTTTGCAAGACTGGATGTTCATGTTTTAAACTAGTTATGAGCAAAAATTTAGCGATGCAAAAATTTCAAGAATGATTTCCTTAAAATTGGTTAAAATGCTTGAAATTTTTTATCTAAGAAGATTCTAATTGACCTTAAGATTCTTTTAGTTCATCGCAAATGTTGTTGTTGCATCGCAACTTGATCAAAGAATCTCAGATAAGCCCTAATGACACAAGTCGGTTAATCGATCAGAAATCCGATGAGACCCTGAGATGCTGCTGGATTTAAATCAACCCATGCCGGCTTGGCGCTGGATTTCTATTCAATTAACCGATTTATGCTATTATGGTAGACAATTTGTCATAATCTTAGCTCAATTCGCCTCTGATTATATCAGAATGAAACTTGTGGTACTGATTCAAATATATACAAATTGCTGCATAATCACTTTTGTTGACTGGTAGCATCAAAATTAAATTTGATTAACAAGAAGACGGCAAAATAATTTTTACATGTGCTAGAACTGCAAAAAAAAAGATTTAATCAGAATTGGGTATATATTCAATAATTTTACAGATGCCAGTACTGCAAAAAAATTATTAAATAATTACCCAATTCTGATTTAATCAGCAAAAAAGAATCTTTTGTATGTTTTCATCCAATAAAAAACCTTCATTTCTTAAATAATAATCAACATTATGTATTTCCCACCGTTATGTTGAATAAGCGGTTTATTAAGCTAATTAATAACGTAATATGAATTTCATTTTCCAATTTAAGATTCTTAATTTGAATCGTTAAAATTGAATGAAAATAATTCATTGATCTAATTTTGGATTTGAATCAAGGTTAATCGCATAGCATGAAGATAAGTTCCAATCATTTATTTAATGTTCATGCAAAATCACTTCCAAAAAACGACTATAATTTGTAAAATTAATTGACTTTGCGTGTGATAAATTTCTCTCGTTTGAAAAACTAATTTGTGAAATTAAGAGAGTAAGCGGCATGTGAAATGAGAACATGCCGACAAAGATATCAGAACCGAGAAAGTAAACGAGAATTGTATGAATTATGTTTCAATCTCTTGTTCTTCTTTATTCGTTTGAACACAATCAGGAATTCGTGCAAAGAGTTAAAAGTCAATAAAACTGTTAACTTCTAAGACTTCTCCTCGAAGCTTCACGATTGCTAGCTTGCTTGTTCTTTCAAAGATATTGTATGTTTTGTGCATGTTTTTATGAAGCGAAGGGCTGTTGTGGTAGTTTTGGCTGACAGGACTAGAAAATAATTTTAAATTGCTCGAATTCTGGAACCAATTTTTAATGGCTATTCCAGGTTCCCCCTGGTCCCAGTTACTTATCATTTACGCTTTAAGATGTGGCTCGATTCTGTGAGAGGGTGTTCAGGATATTATTAGAAAACCGGTCCCTGTCTTTTGTTTTCCCAGTTCCGCAAAAATGCTTAATTCCCGCTCGTTCTTAAAACTTCAGTGTCATCAAAAAAGCCGGTTTTCATTTAGCGAGCATGTTGGTATAAAAAAATTGCCACTGTAAATAATTATTGGCGTCAGTCACTCATCCATCAGCAACTAACAGTGCCATACGTTGCTATCTTAATAAGCAAAATTAGCCACTTTAAAGCGCTTCCGTCACACAGCACGCGCACCTTCAATTTTAACTTCTTTCATTCGCATTTTTTTCTCTTCTTTCTCTCCTTTTGATTTCAACTTAATCTGCGATAATCGCAATATCATATTACCAGTATTCTTGTTCTGCACAGCAACGGCAATATCGTTTCCATTATTATTATTTTTGTTATTATTGCTATAATTTTTATACGGAGTTGAGCAACAAAATTGCACGAATAAAACATAAAAGCAAATCACAATTTTCTTCACATAGAGCACATTCATTTTTGATCGACGACTATTATTAAATTTCCTCAAAAATTTTGTTATTTCTTCTCCCGCTTGTGTGGAGCTTAACAATTTAAATATAACGGTTTAATGTTGATTAACACATGAATTAACAAAATAAAAAATAAGTTTTCTTCTAAAGTCACTTCTTCTAACTTCGTCTGTCGTGTCTTTTCTATTCATTCATTTTTATTCCAATCCATAATAATTGAATATGAGAAATGAGAACACGACCATCATCAGTTTAAAAAAATTATGTATTGTGTAATACTTTGTTATATTCCAATATATATTGCACAACTTTAATCTTCGTTCTTTAATTCTTTGAATGGATATTCACACAAAGCACTTTAGACACATACTGTGTGTGCGCTTTACAATCAAAGTAAATTGAAGAAAGTAACGGTATTGTAAAGCATAATTATAAAAAATTTTGTATTTATTATAAACTCGTCTATTCTCTTCTGTTGTTTCACTAAATTGCACAAATCACTGCTTCTTATTTAAAATATATTTTTATTTTGTAATTAATTCACTTATCACACCAACAACATGCATTTATTTGGTGTCAGCTATTAATTATGAAAATGGTTCTTTTGACTCTCTTTTATTATGTTTCTTCTCTATGCTTCTTCACTCTATAACCGCTGGTTTATTTTAATAAAATAAAGAAAAAACTGTCTTCCATGCAATCTTCCATTTACTTGTTGCTTCTTTCGATTCTCGTCATGGACTAACGCACTGGAGAGAATAACAAATAACTTTTTAAGTATAAAAAAAGTGTTCATTGAAGATACATATGTGAATATGCGAGGCAACACGCAGATGAGAGAATTATTCTTGTGGCTTTTTAACAAAACTCGCGAGATCTTTTTTTTGCCTTTCTTTTCTTTCTATTCTTACTGCTGAGTATTTGATCATTTGTTATGTTTGTTTATCTTTCTTTTCTTTTCACTCTTCCTCTGCGTTTACGTCAAGTGGTTCTTCTCTCTACGTTTAAGTTGTTTGATAGCTTGTTCAATTTTTAATAACTGGCCGCATGTGTAGCTTTATAAGAGAATCATAAACATAGATTCGTTATAGATAGATTTGTTGACTTTTAGATTGAGGCCGTTCACTTATGGCATACAGGGAGGGGGGGTGGGGGTCAGCTAGAAAGGAGCAAAAGAAATTCCTAGAAACCCATAGATCTTTTTTGAAAAATGACCGTTAATTTCGGACGTCCCCATTGAAAATTTCGTATTATTTTAAATTTGGACAGTTTCGAGAGCTTTACAATTTCTACTTACCATTAAAATCCGCTCAGATACCTTGAATAATTGTAGGATCAAGTCTTTAACAGATAAAATCAATATCTGCCACTCAGGTTCAACCACCTTCATTAATTCAAACAATTTCAGATTCAGCTCTATTGAAAAACATTTCACTTTGATCTTATCAACGCTATTAATAAACTTCGTTCAATATCCGTTGTTTAGAAAATTTTAATTGCATCTTTATTCAACAAGAATCTCCTGCTTAAAAATAGATTTAAACATCGTTATCATCCACCTCCTTTAAAATTTTCTCCTCAAATTATTTTAATAGATTCTCGTCTCAATTCTTACATCACTTGTAAAAGCTCATTGACAAAAAAGCTTCTTTAATTTGCTGAATGGAAAAAAGAAATAATATAAATGCCATTTATCCGATTTCTCAGTTCAATGATTATAATTTTCCAAATGAATTTTTATGCATTTACATTTTTGGAACTGTTATGTCTCCCTCCTTCTTCATCTCCATACAAATATTCAATTTTTTTTTGTTCATTTATTCATATGGAAAATGAGAATGGAACACAAAATACTTGAAAAAAGCTGCTTAAAAAATGTACTAAAAGACTGTTATGCGAATAAGCTGGAACAATAATAGCTGCTGCATGTTTTAGTATCATTTAGTTGAAAATGTGTTCTTTAATGACTCATTCTGAAGGATCGAGTTTATTTAAGATGATTTTTCATCTTCATTTAATTCATCCTTTGATGATGAAATTTAAAAATTACATTTTTTTTCTATTGGCAATCACAACTAAAGAATCACCATTCATACTTTTATTGGCTTCTGATTTGATTAAGAAAAGAGCTGATGTAAAATGTAATAAAATGAATTCCAGTTTTATTTTTCTTTTCAGCTTCTGTAATTCACAAGAGATTAAAGTGTTAATAGGGATGTGAACAATTTCATTTATTGAAATAACACGATGGAAATCGAGAGCAAAATAAAACATGCATTTGCATGAATTAATTGAATTTTAATTTGATTTTCCCCTCAATACTCAATGGATTTTCATTTATTTTATTTCAGTTCACAAATTGAAGTGCAATTGGAAAACACTGTTCAAGCTACTGAATTGAAAAAGCCAGTTTTATACATCAATGGAGTAAAAAAATCTTGTGCTTAATTTTTTAATGCAATTTACTTTGTTATAGAATCGCGATTGGCTTAGTTTGACCGATATTTTAAAGTTTGTAGGTTTTGGAAATTAAAATCTCATTTAAAATTAATTTAAATTTGATTTATTGGGAATATTGTTGGCTTTATCATTGACAACATATTTTAATAGATGTGAGAATGTTAAGACCATTTAACTATTTTATTTAATTGCAATAATCACTAATTTAAGTTCTGTGAATTTTATAAATCATCAGAAAACAAAATTCAAAAACTCCAAAATTTGTCAAGTCACTTAAATGCGCTTTTGCTCCAATCTACAGGATATACACCATCAAAATTAATACAGTAACTTTTTATCCTCAATTTACAAGGCATTCTCGAATTCTTTAAGAGTACTTTTATAGAAAGTTTTAATTAAAGAACTTCAGTTCCGAACTTTTTTTTTATTTAATTTAATCTACATAATTAAGGACAAAATCGAGAAGGTTTTCAACATGAGATTTAATTATGAAATGACCAATTTAATAAAATTCTTTTATGTAGCTTTCTTCGGTAGTCTCCACATAATGCCCGGTTGAGCACGGTCGATTAAACTCTTGTCCATATTCATGCAACCATTTATTAGCTACCCATTTAGATCTAAAATCACGATATAATTTAATTTAAAAATGAGAACATAAAAGAACTTTTTTAACAAAAGATAGCGAACATACCCTAAGAGAACCGGGCAGGCAGCATGTCGTGTATAATAGTCACAGTCTCCATTATCTTTTAGATTGTACCAGAATGCAGCCATTCCTTTAACAGCGGGAACATAAACCTTGAGATATGGAAATACTGTTGCACCGCCTTTCTCAACTGTTGACAACTAAAAAAATGTCAGAATTGTTAAGCTTGCTATAAATGAGGAAAGGAAAATTCTATGGTGACATTTTTTATTAGGAACGCGATTTTCTCTAGTTGGAAGTTCATTATGGTTATAATTTTTTTCAGATTATACAGACTTAAAGGTATTTAAAAATTAAAACAAACAACTTTTATATGCTTGACTAGAACCGGCAAAATCTAAAAATCTTCCTCTATGAAAATCGCGCTATTATATGCAAATCAAGCCAAGAAAATCTTAAACTTGTATAATAATTTACATAAAAGAGGACTGTTGCTATCCGGTTGCCAGTGCCAAGATCAAACGGATTTTCTTCCTTCTTTTTCATATCCCAATGTGGCTGGTAGTGCCCACCAATTCCATAGTTTTGGATTTGTAGTTCTTCCGCTGTTTTTGTAGTCAAACCTGTCATGTCCTTAAAATTAAATAAAAATGTCTTATTATGTTCTTGACAAAAGAGGATGTAAAGTGAGTTTCTATGTTGAAGTTGGAAGAAAAGACTTCTGTGGTTGATTCTATTGAAATGAGGAATGAATTCAAAATTTTATGGCTTGATTAAATTTGTTCTTAAGAAATTTTTTTTAAAAAATGGGGTTGTTAAAAAATGACGTCTATTAGAAAATGGTATTAGTGCTTGATATTTAAGCACATAAAAGGATGTTTGATAGTTTGTCACATCAAACAGTCGCTTGAGACAAATTCAACATTTTATGTATCCAACGAGTTTGAAATAGCTTTATAACCCTCTTCATATGGCTTTCCACCATCATAATACAAAAAGTTCACAAACATCATACTTCAACTCTTCTGGAAATTCTGTGAATAACATCAACAGCGACATCCTTGAGCCACGCAACTTTGGCAATCCTTTGATCCGTCTTTTGTGTATTTGTGCCTTCTGTATAAATTGTTCCTCTAATAAATCGTGATTTTGAAGCATTCTTTAAAATTTCAATTTCACTGTCATAAATGACATCGTGGAATAGAACTAAGTTCGCTGACATATCCGCCTCTTCTACTTTAAATGGAGCCAACTTTGAGAACGGTGATGTGGAAATGTATCGACATTTGAGTAATGCACTCTCTTTTGGTGATTTAGAGTTCTCTCCACGGCACATTTGACTGTAAAGAATACTTTCCTTACTTCTTAAATAAATTTTATTTTTAATGAATGAGTCAGGCTCTGGAGCAAGATCAACAGAATTTTTTGTAGTAAGAGATTTTTCAATTATACTTGCTGATATTTCGTCAATTTCTTTAAACTCGTCTCCATCCTCTTGAATTTTCTTTCTGAGTTCACTTATGTACTCCTTTACATAATAATCATTATTTCCAATAAATAATGCATGCTTAGCAATCGTATAAATATCATGAGGCTTGAACTTTCGACTCGTCTTTTCTCCTTCAATAATTCCATTCACAATATCCTCAGTTTTCAATTTGTAAATTTTCTGTAGTCTCAAAAGACCACCAACAGCACCGTCGAGATCTTCTTGTGATGGTTGAATATCTTTGATATTTCTATTGAATTTAAAGAATAAATTTGTTACTCGACTTTCGATGTGCTTTAAATCCGAAGTGGTTCGTTTTATCATCAAATATGCATTGATTGGGTTTGTTATGTATTTTGTTACATCCTTCTGAACATTATCGTATTCTTCTCTCCACGTTTGAAGCTTCCTTAAGAAATAATAAGAAAATTGTAATGAAAATTCTTTTTAAATTTCAAAAACCTGTTGTAAGGCTTGATTTGATTGCATTTTTTTTTTCTATTTTGAACTGAAGTTTGAAAGGTTTTAAAAATAAGTTGCATTAAGGAGCATTAAGATACACTTGGAAAACTGTTCAAACTGAAAAGTATTTAAACTTTTTCAAAGGATTTTCTGAATAATCAGAAATTATTTGTCGTTGCGTAATTAGTTCTGAACTTTTTTATTGACTTTGTGAAAAACTAATTTTAAAAGTATTCCGTAAAGGGTCGTTCACTTATGACGTCCGAAATTAACAGTCATTTTTCAAAAAGAACAATGGTTTTCCTGGAATTTCTATTGTTCTTTTCTTGCTGACCCCCCCCCCCCCCCCTTCCGGACGTCATAAGTGAACGGCCCTTAATTATGTTCATCAAATAAATAATCATGTCCTTAGACTATTGAAATTAGACTATTGAAAATAGTGTTAATTTTTATAATTTACCTTTCAAAAAAATTCATTTCAAACTTCATTTTCTGTACTAATGTTGAAAATTCTTCAATAATCCTTTCCTCGTCATAAGCGAGCTTTTCCATTTCACTAATTGCTGAGAATTTTTCACAATCTATTCTTAAAATTATGTTAACGAAAATTAATGAAATTTTTATTGAATTAAAATTCATTTTTTTAAAACTAGACAGAGTTTCTGTTTCGAATGGAAATGTGAACTGAATTGAAAATAATTTTTTTGTTCAGGTTATTCGTGATGTCTGAGTATTATGAATTATCCAAGTAATAAAATTAGAATATTGCTAATTGAAATTATGAAATTAGTTGTAAAGTGTTCACGACTTTTGTTAAATTTTATTGCTTACAATCTTCTAATTGTAAGTTGTGGTTGCGGGTTAAATGTACCCTCGAACAGCTTTAGTAATAATAATGTGTAAAGGGCTGGAGGCACTGCGATTCAACTATCTCTAGTTTTCGAAAAATAAGTTTGATATTTTCAATTTAATAAAAAAATGATTAGAAAAAATCATCAAAAGCTATAAGTTGTGAATAATTTTGTCTCAATTACCCCGCTAAAGAAAAACAAGTTTAATTTGAATGTTAAATCTTGAAAATATAAATAGAATCATTTTTTAAATTTTTTTGATAAATTGACATTCTGTTTTCCTCATTTTTCTCCTTCTTTAATCACGAACGGTGTTTTTCGGTGGTATCTAACATTCAACGAACATACAATCACACCACACTACGCCATCAGCATGCATAATATCAATAGGATGATGAAACTCTAGTCACGATTTATGTCGATGTCAAAATGTGTAGGATGGAATATTAAAATGCGCTTTTTCATGACTTTTCCTTTTTTCTGTCCTCTGTTACCCTCATTATGATGCGTTTCGTATATTTTTTCATTTTGAGCATCAACAATGTTGAGGAGTTGACTTTTATGAATGAAAGAAGCAAGTCTGTAATTTTTAAAATTTCATGTTCAATCAAAATGATTTTAATTTGAGTTTCAAACCTTAAAGATCTATTCATATTGATCAAGAGAGCGGTTTAGACCCAAAATGATACTAAGCTAGGCAACGTGTCTTGAATATCTCCTAGAATTCGGCCTCAAACCCGAAAATAAGCCAGAATCCTTAATACAATGTCAACATCCAATTAACAAACCATTCTTGTTAGTAACAAGCAAGTCAAAAGCTCCAAAAATATTACCAGCTCATGAACTTGAAATAAAATCTAACAACAAAACCCATCCATCAATTTACAAATCAGCTAACAAATCTCAAGTTCACTAGGTCATAGCATCAAGCTAGATGAAATTTCCTTTTTCTTTGCGCGAAAATAAACTTTATCCATTTTTCATTTCATACCAAATATTTTCATTTGCTGCTTGTTCTTGTTGCTATTTCTCACAATTCTGATGTAGCTGTTATTCCTTTCTGCCACTGCTGCTTCTTTTCTTGAAGTTTAATTTACGAACGTGAAATGAGAATGTCGAGCGAAAAGATCGGAAGTTTATTTATGCTGCTCTGCTTCATAGTCACTTTACAAAATGATTTATCAATGCCATTAAGCTTCTTCCTAAGCTTCTTTTCAACTTTCTTGTTATTTTCTAATATTTTCCTACTTCATTTTATAGAGAAAAATTTGTGTGGAACTAATATTTTATATCTTTGATGTAAGCATTTTGTAAAACATAATTTTTTAAGAAGAAATTCCAAGGTTGATCATGTAGCTAGTTGCTTTGATGATGGATTGTGTTGGATGTAATATAAAGCTGAGTGCAATTTGTAGTTGGCAAAATAAAGCGATAGCAAACTTCAGAGATCTGAAAATTAAAGTTTTCAAAATAAAGTTCATTAAATTCTGAAAATGATTCCGAGAAGCTTCATAAAGCAGCACATGGTGAATTTCTAAGCAATTAAAATTAGAAATTGCATGTCAGTTACAAATCCAAAACGATTTTATTAATTCTATGAAAATGAAACTATCGGAAATAATTCGCTAAAAGCTATATTGCTACATTCAAAATTGGAAATTGATTCGAAATCCTCAATTTTATTTGATTCCTTTAATTTGCTCGCTTTTTATAAAAATTTCAGCTTACAAGCATATCCCATCATAAAAATATTAATTTTCTATGAATTATTCGCAATATCTTTGTTCTGATTGCCATTCTATAGCTCGAAATTCACATTCAGCGTTTTTACATTTTTCGATGACAAAGATAATATTTCGTACATTGTCAGACAGAATTGTAATACAATCTTATAACATTATTTTACTCTTCCGTTTCTCATGCTTTCATAAATCATAATATCATCCGTACTTAATCATTGGAAAATGTATTTCTTTCTCCTTTTTTCATTAAATAAGAATTAAATGAAAAGTCTTTGTTGAATGAGACTTGTGAAAAATTGAATACAAAATATTAAAAGGATGAAAAGGAATTGGATGAAAATTTCGACGATCCTTGAGGAAATTTTGGTTGTTTTTATAACATTATTGTGCTGATACATGATCAATATCTGGCACAATGAAAAAGAAATTATTTCAAGGGGAAGTTTTTAAAATTCATCAATTTATTTAAAACTCATTTATTTTCCTCAGAATAAATGAATTCTAGCAATGAATGCAATTTCTTACAATTGAAAAATTACTTATTCAAATTCTTCTGCTTTTGAAGCCAGAGTTCGAAGTCGATAGAGTTCAAATCAACTCGAGTTGACTCGACTTGACTCAAAACCGAGTAGAATCAACTTTTCTCGAGTTGACTTCATTTTTTTGGAGTCAACTCAAGTCGACTTTGAGCTCTGTTTGAAGCTTACAATGTTTATAACCATTTTCTCAACACAGATGATTAAAAATAATTCATCTATTTCAATGATTTGCAATGAAAAACATGGTTTGAATTTAAAGACAAGATTTAATAGAAAAATTCATTACAAACCCATCATAATGAAATTACTAGCTCTAAACTATAATGCTTAAAACAGATCCAAGCAATAAAAATTGTGTACTATCTAACATTTTATATGAATGAGTGAGTACCGACTGCATCAATGCATTGTCATGATATATTTCAGATACACAAAACTTGATTCTTATTTTCCATCATACAAAATTGAATGAATTTTACTTGATTGTTGATGGTTAAGTATATATTTCACATAATTCTCTCATCGCATATTTTATCTAAGAGAGCTGTTTTGATTTTTTATTCAGTTTATTCTTCATGCGGTATGTTGTTGTGTACATATTGTAGTTGAAGAGATGTCGAAAGCCAAGAAGGATGAATGTCATAATAAATTTAAGTGCATCAAGTTTTCGAGTCATTTTTTTCGGAAAACATAAGCTAATTTTCTATGCATTTTGACTTGACGAGGATAAAGTCATTGGAATGATGCAAAAAAAGGATATTAAAAGCTTAGAAGAACTCGATATTCCTTTTGTTTCAAAATATTAAGGTTTATTGTTAAAGAATGCTAATAAATTGAAGACATTGTCGAATCTAAGTTTATTTCCTTATTAGAACTTTAATACATATTCGATTAGATGATGCTAATCTATGCTAGTCTGTGTATGTTCTTGTAGAGAACCAATAGATTTACATTATTCAAATTAGTCTTGTGCTTACGAAAATTCCATTCATATTTTAAAAGGTAGAAAAACATGATCAATCTTTTACACGTAACTAGGTTACATACCACAACCATTGACAGCATATGCACCGACGTCAATAGATCGCAATAACTTCATAACTAGCTTCTGTATTTTCATCTTATACAATATTCACCATGCTATTTATGAGCACACAGAAAACAAGCATGTCAAATGTTGAGATATTTTGAATAAGAATCTTATAGTATAAGCAGAAAAAGAACTTACTCCAGCATGGGAAGAAAAAAACAATTTTGAGTCTTCTTCTTTTCCCTCATCTGCATCAGTTGAGTGCTCATTCTCATGGGGAATAAATTGACGAAAGGAAGAAGAAATTCATTCAATTTTTCATGTTGCCTACATGTGTCGAGTTGAAGGAATTGCGAAAGAATCAAATTATATTTTTTTAGATATCGAAAAGCTTATTTTCAACATGCGTCTTTAAAACAAGAAAAAAGTCAATTTCAATTTTTTTTTCGCTGTTCCTTTTTATCAGATTTTTCGATTCCTTACGTTAAATTTCATATTATATTATTTTGGAACAATGAAGCAACGACTATAGTGTGGTATTAAAAATCTTTCGTCATTCCTTATTCATTTGACGACTTATGTAAATCATTTCTTTGTCGTTGCTAAGTTTAGTCTACAGTATTATTTTTATTACCATGGATATCAGAGAGAACAAAAAAAAATCTTCAAAATTGTCATTTTTCAGAGAAAAAAGATCTAATAAAAATCTTAGCTTATAAATGAAGAAGCCTTTTGTCTTTGAGCATAACAAAGCATCAAATTGTTAAACGAGAAGTCAAAAAAACAAAAATTTAATTTTCATGACTTTGTTGTGAAGTGTTTTAGTGGAAGTGCCGCATTGTTTTATTTTTATAATATATCCTGATGCGTTTGTGGAGCTTTTGAGTTACAACAAAGGATGAAATTTGTGGTTTGCTGCTAGGACAATGCTGTTAATATTTCTCTTTTTATAATTATCACGTAAATTGCATGACTAGCTTTTATTCATTACAAAGGAAAAAAATTGTAAATTAATTTAGGTTAACGAGATTTCATATCTAAAGTTGTTATGGAAACTACTAACATTCAATAATGCTTGCAGATTTTTATTAAAGAACCTTCAAAGCTGGAATAATAATTAATTCTATTTACTGCTAGAATTAATGTCAATATAAAAACATAAGTTTTATTCTCAGAAATCCAAGGATATAATTCTTTAAATCCTTCAGTACATTTCAACATTCATTAAAGTTCATAGTTTTTAAAAATATAAAGCATTACTGAGAATGCAATTTAACATTTAATTAAGATTTCATCGTTACTCTTCTGTTCTTTAATTTTTCTCCAATTAAATAATTATTTTCATTCAATTGAAATGAATTTTCTATAATGAATTTGAAATGCAAGGAAT